TAAACAAACAAATGATGTATATGTAAACCTTACGCCTTATATCTTCCATTTTTCCCCTTGACTAAGTCCATGGGCTATGAATATAAATAAGGCTAGGTCATATGATTGACTTAACTTAAGCTCTCCAATCGTGAGGGGTAGCTTGGCCAAAAGCCACCTCGCTCACTCTCAGACTTTGGTTCCCCTGTCCTTAAATTAACATGATGTCTTATACTAGACTTTATACCATCTTCTATTACTAAGAATGGTAATGTATAGCGCTCACTGGACTCCACACAAATACTCTTATAAGAAGTGATGATTCATGATTATTAGATGTATACCAGACGCCACACTAATTCCCTTATTGGGGAAAGTGATTCATGACATGTGCCAATAAAAATTTGGTCCAGGTGTTGACAAATCCACATAGATTTCAACTAATTCCTAACTAGGGTATCATTACCCACTCCTCATGCATAATGATGAATTCTATAATCATGTTTAATGGCCATGAGAAAATAATTAAACACATGCTCAAGTTTTCACATGAATAATCATTTAATACTTTTCATAAATTGCATTTTAACCAAACATGCTCACTTGCTTACATTTCCCAAACATCAAAACATATAGTTTATCATATACAAAAATATGATTTCAAGTCCACAATCTCTATTAATCAACTAAACAAGTAAGGTGCAAGAAATAGTTTTCTCAATTACCTCAAACCTTTAGGTTATTAAAGGTTATCCTCAATTAGATTTGCTTCCCAAGCCAAATTTGAGTTCAATCAATGTTCAACAACGTTTCTCTACAATATTCCAACAAATCATCATCAATATTGTTTCGACTCCACAATTCAAATTCTAATTCACAACTTCCAATTCAACCTAACCAACTCAAATATTAACCCTCTTATATTTATCACAATCAACACACTCTAAAACCATCTATTAGCTTCAATAGGCTTTCATTAGCTCATCTACCATCCTTATCTAGCTTCCAACAACCCAATTCAACACTTTATCTCTCTGAGGGTTCGTTACCCAATCATCTAGTCATATAAACTCATTAAGGCTTAGGTTTAGAAACGTAAAACAATCTCCATTAGCTTAAATGATACTTTTCATAACTCCTATCAATCCAAACTTAGCATTTCACAATATAGGGTTTGGCCAAAATGGATGCCTCCATAATAAAACCATTCAAAATCATTAGTCTTAGGTTTAAAACACTTAGATAACTTTCATTAGTCCCATTTAAACTAATAGGTTTAGACCTAAACCCTTAAAATTGAAAATCATCATTCCTCACTACAAACCCTAACTCTAAAAACATGTATAAGCAAAGAGGGATGAGTAGAGATAGTTATCTTAGTGATTTGAAGTTCAAAACCTCCTCAAAATGGCATCCTTATCATGCCCTAGTAGAGCCATGAGGTACTCCCTCTATTCTCCTCCTTTTTCCTTTTTGTCACAAGCTATTCAATCACATATGATTTAATTGAATTTTTTACCATCTGCCACAACGCATAGTGCATTTGTTATGGCAAATGGTATAGGTTTAAAGGCCAAATTTCAACTCCTCTAATTAGGCCTAGGAGGCCTAATACAACCTCAAGCCCGATCTAAATACTATAAACAAACCTATTAGATCTATTGGTTGCCTCTAACCATCATCAACTCAATTTACGTAATTAGGTATTTAAAATTTGAGATGTTACACAAAGCATGGATAAAAAGTCTAGAGGAGTGGAAGAGAGAGAAGGGAGAAGAACAAAAAGAAGAATAAGACCCACGTGTAATATTTTATGATAAAAATAAAATTTAAAATGTTTAAAGAAAAATTATCCAAAATCAAGTTTAGGGTACCAATAGACTTTAAATGAAAAGTTTAGAGATAAAAATAAAATTAATCCTTGTAAATATATTAAAAAAATGCAAATGACAAGACAACTCATATAATGATCATTAAACATGTTAGTGTCGAGGACAAATATGACCCGCATAATAGCCACTCATGGACAAAAATAACCTAATGTTGAGCTCGGATACTCGTAAACCATGAGGGTAAAGTTCAAAGGCAAAAGTGACTATTAACCCTAATTCTTCTTAAGTCCCTTAGGACATTTTTTGACATTAATGATTTTTAATTAAATGACTAAAATATTCCCATTTTAAAATAGAAAAGTAACAACTATGGCCACACAAAAAAAGTAAATATCTATAATTATTCTAATTTAAGTAATGACTACCTTTTTTTAATAATGACTAGAATAGAACAAGCAATTATAATTTCACTTGTGCAAATTTTTTATTCACTAAAGTCCAAGAGTTGTAATTTGTAAATATCTCAATTCAAACGATGATTACTTTTCTTTTAATAATAACTAAAATAGAATAAGTAATTATAACTTTTCCTATGTCAATTTTGTATTCAATAAAGTCGAAATGTTATAAATATCTATGATTACTTTAATTTAAATAATAACTATTTTTTTTCTAATAATGACTAGTATAGAATTTCAAAGGCAACTTTTGTTGTGCAAATTTGTGATTCATTGAAATCTAAGTATTGTAAATATTTGTTACTATTTTAGTTTAAATATTGATTACTTTTTTTTGACAATAACCAAAATGCAACAAATAATTACTGTTTTAGTTTAAACTAAAAGTATTTTAATCATGTTAGCAAAAATATTAATGTTAGAAAAAGTCTCTAGGGATTTAAAAAGAATTATAATATTTAATAAGATTTTACTTTCATTTATATATTTTAAGAAAATTTTTATACTATTTTTTCTACTAATTAAAATAAATTTAAAGAATTAAAAGATTCACAATGTCGACCAGATAAACAGAAGTAAAAGAATCCTTTGGCGTTGGAAGGAGGCTTCTAAAACAAAGGATCAGGCGGAGGCGGAGGACTGGGAGGGGTGATGGAGTCAAAATGAGGACCCTCACTCACGCTCTTCTTTCTAGTGCGTTACGCACGTTCCAATAACAACACGCGTTACATCCCACTCTCTCCCCTGCCAACGTCCCTCGCCACCCTCCAGCTCCCTCCACATTCCCCACGATCCCCACTTTTATACATACATTACTCCCAGAACAGGCTTGGCTTCTTTTATTTTTTATTTTTTAAAATAAATCTCTGCATATGAAAATTGGTCGGTTTTCATCCGGTTCACGGATTATTGACATTGATTCTCCAGTTAAACCGACTAGTTCCTTTTCCATCCGAGATTTTATGCTCGTTACATTTTTTTATTAAAAAAAGGTCAAAGTAAATATTTAATTTTTTAAATTTATACAATGTTTTATTTTAATCTCAAAGTTTCATTACATTTTAAAAAAAATTAAAATATACATATAATCTTTTAACTTTACACAACATTTTATTTAATCCCTTAACTTTATAAAATATTTTTTTAATTCTTTAATCTTAATATTATTAGGTTTATCCTAACAAATTTTCACATTAAACTTTTAAATATTGAAAAAATAATTTTAAATATTGATCTATTAGGTTTAATTTTTTTCAAAATAATAATGATAGATATAAAAAATAATCATTTAAAACTAATGATATTAGGATTAAAGAACTAAAAAATATACTTCCTTTGGTCCTAAAATATAGAATATTTTGTAGTAATTAAATTATTTTTTTAATTTTATTTCTTCTTAATTAATGTGAATATATTTAATGTAGTTGTATTATTATTTAAAACTAATAGCAAAAATGAAAGTATATTTCATTTTTTTATGATATCAAAAAAATTAATTTTTTAAAATACATAAAATAGTTAAAAATATTCTATATTAAGGATAAGAAAGAATACTTCATAAAATTAAAGAATCAAATTAAAACTTTATATAAATTAAAGAACTAAAAGTATACTATATTTGAAAAAAAATCTTGCATCTTCTTAAGTTTGTGTTTTATGGAAGAGTATGAGATATTGGGGTCTGTTTAAAACTATTTTTATTTTATTATTTTGAGAATTAATGTTTTATAAAACATGTTTTAAAAATTAAAAAAATAATGAAAATACGTGTTTTTTTTTCATTTTTTGTTGTTCTCCAGATGAGAAATTCCAGAATGCTTAAAAAATATTTATATTTTTTTAATTCTTCATAACAATATTTTTTTAAAGAATAATTTTTTAAAATATGTTACTAAACAGATTTTTATTTTTGTTTTTGTTTCAAAGAATAAAAAATTGTTCCTAAAACATATTGTCAAATAGACTCTTGTTTCCAAATAATTTAAATTCTTACATACATGTGCAAAACTTAATAAGTTGTCCGTAATTTGATTATGATTTTATATGTCAAATCTAACTTAAATTAAAGACAACACATTATATCAAAATATATTAATTGATGGATTTGATAATAATTTATAAGTAGAAATAAAATGAATATAATATTAAAAAAGGAATAAATTTACACACCAAGATTGAGTAAAGGAAAATGCATTCAATTCATTTTTAAAAATTTGAGATTATGATTGAAGATTTAGTAAAAAAGATTAATTTCTCTCAATATGAGAAACTAAGCCTGCATTTAATATAAAAGTCAACATTCAATCTTTTTTCATCAAAAATTGTTAGAAATTTTGTTTTACCCGAATAATCAAGATCTTTCAACTGATGGATGGTAAAGATAATATTAAAACTTGGCTTTGAATCTCTCAATTGAATCTTAATTGAACAATATTAACCATCATAATGGCGTCGGAATAATTGAAATTAAGACACATGTTTATTTTTTTAAAAAAACATAAATTTGTAACTATTCTAATTTCTATCCAGCAAATTGGATCACAATCTAATAGTCAATGTCAGTTAATTTTGAAAAAAGAAAAGAAAACCTTCTCCCCAGCCATCCCTCTTGCATACCAATTCTCTCTCTCACTCAACAAATGAAAAAATATGGCAAGGAAGGTATAATATATATATATATATATATATTATATGCAGCCATGAATGGTCCTTTGCTTCTTCCACACCCATCTTCTCCCGCTCTCTCTCTCTCTCTCGGACCTTTTAATTCATTCCTTCATCATTTAATGATTCATGATACTGACCTACCAAGCAAAGTAATCCAACCCAAAAAAAAAAAAAAAAAACGCTTCATTGCAATTGGGGCTGCCATGAATACCGTATTGCTTGCTTGCATGCCACACCTCTGAATCTCCCTCCTCTCTTCCCAAGCTTCCATCTTTCTTCCTTCTCTGACCACCGTCAACGGTCATAGCCATATCCATATTCTTCACTTCTCAATCTTCTTCTTCACCCAAATGTCTAAAACCTCCTTCTTCCATGACATTGAAGCCATGCCAGTGTTCGAAGCTTTCAGGAGGATCAAACGTCAGAGGCTGTTCGAGCCGTCTCTGCGTGTTTTGGGTTTCTCCGCCGTCGCTGCTTTTGTTCTTCTTTCATTCTTCTGTTTGGATTACAGAGATTTCGCTGGCAGCTTCGGGATTTCGGGTCGGACCCAGCGGAGACTTCCTTGGGTGCAGATGAATGGGCCAGAACAACACCACCAGAGAGTTGAATTTCTTGGAGAACATGGTAGTGATTGTGATTTGTTTACTGGAAGTTGGGTCTGGGACGAGAACTATCCATTGTATCAGTCCAATCATTGTAGCTTCCTCGATCAAGGATTTCGCTGTTCTGAAAATGGACGACCCGATTTGTTTTACACCAAATGGAGATGGCAACCCAGAGACTGTAACTTACCCAGGTTGGTGCCTATCAAACAATATCCCATTGTTACTGTTATAATATTGGTGTCGTGTATTCATGTTTGCTTAGAGATTCATAAAATGTGAAATCAAACTTGATATTTGAAACGCCGTGCCGTCCGATCAATATTCCGGCGGCCACTTATGGGTTTATTTCCCATTACTGTCAGCATCGTCAGCCAGCTGAGAAAACGAGAAAATGAGGGGAACAAGTCATATTGTATATTGTTGGCCAAAAAAAAGAAGTCATATTTGTTAATTTGAATGAGGTTAAAAAAAAAAAAAAGGTAGTTGTCTCATCTATCTATTTGGCATTTGAAACCAGTATGGTTTTGGATTTGTCTGACCCATTCTTCTCCGGCATCTTGAAAGTGACCCCACGGTTGAATGGCCATAAGCTGCTCATTGTATTCTGAACATTTGGTGAGGCAATGAAATAATATATATATATATATATATATCGATTCGTATGTTAGTCTTTGATATTTTCAATTTGTGCTAGTATTCGTAAGTTAATCTCGTGGTCATAAAAGACTAAAGTGAAATTTCGATCCTGTTTGTCAAAGCAATTGATCTCATTGGCTTCCGAGTCATTCTCACTTGTGAAGCCCCATACCATCTCTTAAATTTTTCCGTCATTTTCTTACCCTCTGTTTCTTTTCTTTTCTTTTCTTTTTTCTTTTTAATAAGTAATTATCAAATTTCAATAAAAAAAAGAATTAAAATAAAAAATTTCTAATATTATACTAGGAAGGCGAGTTCAAATTAAATGTGGTACACTCCTATTTTTCACCCTCTTCTTCCTTATCCATCTTTTCCACCTGCCCTTCATTTGTGTAAGAAGTCGTTTTCCTCCAATTATTACGTACCTTTGAATTAGACAATACTTGCCAAGTAATGGTCAAAGTCCTCGTCGTCGTCGTCTTCTTATAAACATTAACATAGCAAGTTTGTATCTGCTCGATAAAAATCAGAGACTATCATCTTCTCAAAGCTTCAAATACATGAGAGATCGAAGCCATAATGGATGTCCTTTCTTTGTCAACACTAATATTAATTGCAATCCTTCTTTTATCCTAACTTGTATGGATCAGAGCTCAGAAAAAAACACCAAACCACACAGCCAAAGGCATGGTAGTACCAGAACCTTTAGGAGCCTTGCCCCTTTAATTTAGAAGAGTAATCTTTTATTTGTTGAAGGATAAACATACATGTTTCAATTTTTTTCTTTTGGTTTTTAACTTCTTGGTTGTTAGCAAATAGAGACAAATTTACATCATTAACAAATAGAGACTCCAAAACTTGCAGAACTTAAAGCATGAAGTCTAGAATCAAATTCACTTGGATCCATCATTCTGTCAACAGAAGGATGGCACCATGTGATGTAATATGATTAGATTAAGTTGTGTGTTGGTGCCAATGAACATTTGCCTGTCAATGATACCAATAATAATGACAATAGATTATGGCATTTGATAAATGTGATCACTGACTCTCTTTTCAATTGAAACACTTACAAAAACCAGATTTAATGCAACACTGATGTTGGAAGGACTGAGAAACAAACGGCTAGTGTTTGCTGGGGACTCAATTGGGAGAAACCAATGGGAGTCACTATTATGCATGCTGTCTTCTGGAGTTGCTAACAAGAAATCAATCTATGAAGTGAATGGCAATCCAATCACAAAGCACAAGGGGTTCTTGGTGTTTAGATTCAGGGACTACAACTGCACTGTGGAATACTACAGAGCTCCATTTCTTGTCCTGCAGAGTCGCCCTCCTGCTGCGGCTCCTGAAAAGATAAGGACAACACTGAAATTAGATCAGATGGATTGGAACTCTTTGAAATGGAGAGATGCAGATGTTTTGGTTCTTAACACAGGGCACTGGTGGAATTATGATAAGACCATCAGAGGGTAATTTTATGTGCTGGCATTGAAGTAGACAACATTAATCAGAGTGGCTGCATTAGGTGAACTTCACATTTTGTCGTTGTATTTATTTCTGCAGGGGTTGTTATTTCCAAGAAGGTCTGGAAATTAACTTGGATGTGAGAATAGAAGATGCGTTTAAGAGGTCCATCAAGACGGTGCTGAATTGGGTACAAGAAGCTGTAAATCCTAACAAGACCCAGGTCTTTTTCCGCAGCTATGCCCCTGTGCATTTCAGGTTTGTTTGACTGCTCAAATGACTTGTGACTCCAACACTTTTCTTGACTCTGAAGTTCAAATAAAGACCAGAATAGGATTGAGTGGGAACAAAAACACAAAAAATCAATCCCATACACACGATTGTGGTTGTTTCACTCTCTTTTGAACTCTTAAGAATTTTATAACTCGAGAATTCTGGAATATCCTTAGTCCTTTGCTAATACAATATACTTCAGAACATGAGTTATTTAGCATCAAGGAGGACACAACTTCCTGAATCATGTGTGGACAATTTATCATCTCCTGTATCCATACTTCTGGGTAGGTGTCAGAGGTACCGTCCTTCGTTTTAACCTTCTTGGACAGCATAAACCCGCTACAAGAGGAAATATGTAGAAGTGATCTCAGACCACTCTTAGCTTAGTGAACTTTTACAAAATGCCATTTCTTTCATTTTTAGGACATTTTTTGTTGTCATAACAAATTGAAACATTTTGAATACCATTACATCTTCTAAAGAAATCATGTCAATTCAGGTTTGTTTCCATAGCAACCAAATCCTCTCTGTAATTGCTACCCAACCCCTCCTTTGTCTCTCTAAGACTCAATATTTACCTCGCTTTCTTAAACCCTTGGATAGAAGGTGAAGATTTTCTCTGCCTGAATGAATGACATCTTTCACTATGCTTTTTTCTGAAAGAAATGACAAATTCACAGTTACATAAGTCATCTGAAAGTAAAGTATACCAGTATTTATGATGCAGGGGAGGGGAGTGGAAGAAAGGAGGAAAGTGTCATGTGGAAACACTTCCAGAGCTAGGCTCCCCCTCATTGGTGCCTAATGATAACTGGTCTCAATTCAGAGTAGCCAATGCTTTGTTATCATCATCATCTGGAAATGGAATCATGAAGCTGAAGGTTTTGAATGTAACCCACATGACAGCTCAGAGGAAAGATGGGCATCCATCTCTCTATTATCTCGACCATGATGTGGGGCCTGCCCCTCGTCATCGTCAAGATTGCAGCCATTGGTGCCTCCCTGGTGTTCCTGATGCATGGAATGAGCTGCTTTATGCACTCTTCCTGAAACATGAAGCTTCTTCTTAACAGTCCCAAGTATACTATGATTCACAGAGAAAGCCTTCAAATTGCTAACATTGATTTAAAAGAGAGACAGAGGTCTCAGTTCTTATTTATAGACATCAATTTTGGGATAGAATTTGTAGGAAGTGGGAAAACAGAGATGGGCTAATTATCAATTCTTTTTGTACATTGTGTATTTAGACACAGTTTTGATGAAAGATTGATAAAAGGAAAATATTTCTGGCATCAGAATGTTTTTGCTAGTACATTGTAATTACAGATTGTTATTCATTATCATTAATCATCAAAGATTATTCTAATTCAACAGAAATGCGAACTCAAATCCCACGACGAAGCAATGTAACAACCAGGATTCGAACATTAATATTATCAAATGCAGGGAATTGTCCATTGGCTCAAATTTTTACCGTGATGAATCGAGCACGGACCTCAGAGTCTTCTTGATGAAACAAACAGTCGGAAATTTTTGGAAGAATCTGATTATGGATTTTGAACACAAAAAGGACACAGATAAACATCGAAACAGCCAACTTTTATGTAAAATAAATTGCATCGGCCTAAACAAGGGAAAGAAGATCAAAAGACAAACAATCATGAATCTCAGATCGCCTTTACGGCCACTGTTTGTGAGGCTCGGTAGCGACGCTGGAGCTCGGAATCCTGCTTCAAAAAGCCAAAAAAAAAGTTTCTTTTCTTTTGTTTTTTTTTTAAAATCTAGTTCAGTTTTTTTTTTTTGCGCCAAAAAATCTTTTCCGATTTAATTTGTCCTAATTTTTTTTATATGACTGCGGTTTATAACACCTTAGGCCATGTTTGGTATAATGGAAGAGTTTTTAATGGAATCGGAATCGGAATCGGAATCGGAATCGGAATTGGAATTGGAATTAGAATAGAATTGGATTTAAAAGTATGTTTGGTATAATGATGGAATCCTGATATAATTTTAATAAAATATAAGTATTTAAAATAAGAAAAGACTAAAGTGTCCTTTTTAAAATTAAAAAAAATTATATTGGAGGAGAGAGAAGGGGCAAATTGGAGAAAATGAACCATGGAATTGGATTCCATGATTCATATGATGGAATCCAATTCCATCAAATTTCCTTGAATCCTGATTCCAAAGAATCATAATTATTGCATACCAAACACACATGTTAACAGATTCCATGTCCAATTCCATTTCTTTCTCCATGATTCCAAACTACCAAACGGGGCCTTAGATTTTAACTCCTCCTTCATGCCATTGATGAAAACACCCAAGAAACAGTGTTTTTGCCAATTTTCAACTCTTGCAGTGCATTTAGCAAATTCTAAGCGATATTCCTAAACATTCCCCTTCTGTTGTTTTTGTTTTGGTGGGCACAAAACACTCCCGTTCTGTTTGATGCTACAGAGATACTCATGAATTTTGAAATTTTGCAGGGGTACAATTTTCAAGTAACACCTTCACTAATTCATTCAAGTAGAGGATTGTTTGTTTTATGTTAATAGAAGGAGAGAAATCACAAGCATTTGTCTCTAAGAACCTTAATGTAGTATCAACTTTCAAGAATTTAGAAGCGTGATAATATCAAAAATAATTTTACACTTTAAAATTTATAGCTGTGAATCTCCACCATCATATTTGGAGAAATTTATTTTAGAAGATGGATGATAATAGAATGGAATGGGTTATGAAAATGTGGGTTTGTGAAATCGGTACGTTCCATGGATCAAAAACTCTAATGCCAAAAGATTCTCAGTTCTGCTTGAAATTTCAGATCCCCTCTTTTTTTTTTTTGTTAAAAGAATGATGTCTTTTAAACCTGCAACTATGAGAATATACATTTGGTTTTTTTTTTTTAAAAAAAAAGACAATATATGGGATGTATGTTCTCGATACCTTTATCCCACTCAATCTTATTATTGCCTCTCTTTAAAGTTTAAACTTTACAATCTAAGAACTACAGGAATTTTAGATTCATTTGTAAAGCTCATCCTGGGTGAATAATCTTTGCTTATTACACACACATGGATTCGAAAGGGCTAACAACTTTATAGCAAATAGCCTATGATCTGACCCAAAGAAAGTAGAGTTAATGATTGAAGCTCTTTCATATGAAACAATCTATTATAAATATCTTCGAAGTATATATTTCAAGCTATTTTCACTATAATACATTAAATTAGACAAAAATTGTTTAGAATGGTTAGTTATGTTTAAAACATGATATAGAATGATTTCTTTCACAAAATAGCATTCACATTAGAATATCGAGATGTCTTGTATCGGAGATGTTTTTTTCTAGGGTGATTTTTTTATTAATAAGATTGGAATTAAGTGTTACTAATTATATAAATTTTATATTTTATAATTTAATAATTTATAGAACAAATAAATAAATAATTCCCTCCCCTGAAAGTATGACAAAAACGACGTGTAGTTCGTCCGTTCACTGCATCGTCTCGCTTCGCTACACGGCTATATCCCAAGAGCGTGAAAGAAAAGCTGTACTATACATTCCCCCTAGTGGGTGTGAAATTCTCCGCGGGGTTTTTTTTTATTTTCATCGGAAAAATCCCAATAGAGCGACAGCAATGGCGGATGCCTCACTGCAACCGAGTCGATCGAGGGATCTTGATAAGCTTCTTCTCAGGCCTGGTAATCTTGTTGGTCCCAGGTTCGAACCTGGCCCTGAGGTACTCGCGCTCTCTCTTTCTCTCTACTTCACTTCAACAACTTGCACACGCTAATTTTAAGTGTGTTTACTGTCTTTTGGTTTCTTGCACTGATTTACGTTGGTATGTTACAGATGAGAGATGACCTTCAGACATATGCCAGAGTGTTAGTAGTAGGGGCAGGTGGGTTGGGATGTGAGTTGTTGAAAGATTTAGCGCTGACTGGTTTTCGGAACCTAGAGGTCATAGATATGGATCGTATAGAGGTTACTAATCTCAATCGTCAATTCTTGTTCAGGTAGAATCCCTTCCTGAAAGTGCATATCTTTTTAATAGATGTTTTAATTTGTTGCTCTTCTAAATACTTGTCGCTGGGGAGAAAAGGGGTCTTTGATCCTGGTTATATCGGATGAGCTTGTTTGTCACCTTTGACTTTGTGCCTGAGATTCTAATTATGATTCAGCTGCTGGCTTTTACTGTTTAAAAAAAAAAGCTTTTGAGGGAAGGTAGTTTCCTTTGCTTCAACTTGATGTGAACTTGGTCTGCGACATTATTATTTTAGACTTGAAGATGTTGGCAAACCAAAAGCTGAGGTAGCCGCTAAGCGTGTCATGGAAAGAATTAGTGGTGTAAATATTGTACCTCATTTTTGCCGGATTGAGGAGAAGGACATATCTTTTTATAATGATTTCAACATTATTGCCCTTGGTCTTGATTCAATTGAAGCTCGTAGCTATATCAATGCTGTCGCTTGCAGTTTTCTAGGTGCGTATTCCTTCCGCCTTATGTTGTACAAAAGAGTGCATTCCATTTGTTAATTTTTTTTCCCCTTTTGATTTTCCCAATAGAAAATATCAGTGAGTAGGACAAATAAAATTATGCTTGAATTATGATACAAATATCTGATCTAGAAGGAAATAGAGCCCATATAACATGTATACTCATCTAATCCATGCATAAAAGATGGACTTATGATTTTTGAACAGAAGTTTTTAGTAATACTTATCTTAATAGGCATTTTGGTGCTGCAAAGCTATTTAGACATCAAGAACTTAATCCTTCTGGTCTGCTAGTTATTATGTGCTTCTAATTTTCCACAAATAACAGGATGGAAGAACTTTAATTTCTCGTGTGATGTGAATTACTTCTTTTTTCGTATTTTTCATGAGCCAATCTTTTACAGGCAAAAGATGCTTAGTTTATTCACTTTTTGTTTAATGCGTATATGTATATTGGATAAGAGTTAGTGCAATTCCAATGGGGAACTCATTTTTGCAGGAAGTAAACGTCATGCTTATTCACTGTTTTTGTGCATTAATTCTCACTATAGTGATACGGGTACTAGGATTTGTTTTTTTTTTTTTTAAATATTTGCAGCAGACTTTATCTTTTTTAGTTTTGATTCCATAAACTGTACATTGATGTTGATTCCGATATATGTATTTTCCTTTTTTAATAAGGGGATTTTCTTCTCCAGTCTTTTTAGCCAAAGGCTATTAATTTGTACTGGCCATTTCTAGTAAAATTCATTACTTTCTGTTTATGTCAATATTTAATTCCATTTCTTTTTCTTAATTAATCTAGAGTATGATTCTGACAATAATCCACGGGAAGAGACTATCAAACCTATGGTAGATGGTGGAACTGAAGGTTTCAAGGGCCATGCTAGGGTTATCTTGCCGGGGATCACACCATGTTTTGAGTGTACAATCTGGCTTTTCCCACCTCAAGTGAAGTTTCCTTTATGTACCCTTGCAGAAACCCCTAGAACAGCTGCTCATTGTATTGAATATGCTCATTTGATTAAATGGAATGAGGTACTTCATTGCTTAGTTTGTTGTTGCTTCCTTTGTTATATCCTAAAGTTAATAATTAGTGAATTTATGATTTTCAGGCTCATGGTGGAACAGCATTTGATCCAGATAACCCCAAGCACATGAAATGGGTCTACGATGAGGTAGCTATGGAAGTGACTTTCATTATTTGTTTTCTGATTTGCGTGCAATTTTGGCTAGTTTGTGAAAAGTTTTACCATTGATATTTTGTAGGCTCTCAAGAGAGCTGAGCTCTTTGGCATTCCAGGAGTTACTTATTCTCTTACCCAGGTAACCGAAATGGCTCTTCATTTTTTTCTTCCAAATTTTTTTACTTATTCCAGGAGTTTTTTCTTGACGTGAGTGGTTTTGCCTTTTGTCTTTGCTGAGGGCTTGTTTGGGAACTCTTGAGATAGCCAGGTTGGGGTTAGTTCCAACTCACCATTGTTTGGAAGTTATAACGTTGTTAATGAGTGGGTTAGGGGGGATTTTGGAGGAGAATATTTCAGTGTTCCCTAATTCGTATTTTCTTTTAATATGAAGAATAAAAGCAAAAGTGTGATCCTGATAGGGTAAATGTGAAAAGAAAAGAAACTTAAACCATCACAGACCCCCCAATTTGGAGAGTTCTGGAAATTAGGGTGTGGATCAGGCAAGGATGAAACCTATCCTATCCCACCAAATCCCATTACTTGTTGACATTGAAGCAGTGACTTGAAGATTTTCCCTATCCTCACCCAATCCTTCCGAACAAACCCTTAGAATTCCTATGAATTGTTACATACTTGTGTTTTTTCCTTTTTTGGCCCTTGTTATACTCGGAGTACATTTTAATTACCACTAAGCATTTAATTACTTTATAGGGTGTTGTGAAGAATATCATTCCAGCTATAGCTTCCACCAATGCAATTATATCAGCTGCATGTGCACTAGAAACGTTGAAGATTGCAACAGAGTGCAGCAAAACTCTGTCCAATTATTTAACGTATGTACTTTCTTTTCTATGATATTTGCTATTTCTAATCTTTGATCCTGCTTTGGTCATCTTTTCTGCACTTATACACTTTATATGGGATACATGCTTGCAACATAGAATATTCAACGTGAACACAGAAAAACATTGTTTTTTAAATAAATGGCTCATGGAAAATAAGACTAATGGAGATTAATTGCCTGAAGCTGCTTAAATTTATGCATTGTCCAGGACGTTCGTCTTTCTTTATCATTATGCTTGAGTTTGTTTAATTATAATATTAGCATAATTTTGAGTACCTGATCTGCTATGGTTGTTAAGGATCAAGTTATTCTAAAAGCTTTAGTTGTGAGGGAAAGGCCCATGAATGATTTTATTGACATACATATAACATGCCTCCTTGTGCGAAAAGCTGTTGGGCTTCAACAACGGGCAAAAAATCGTCTTATTCCTTTTTTGGGAGCGAGAAGGCCCATCAATGAATTTAGTAACATATCTCTGACGACGGTGATATGCCCAACTTTTCATGTATTGAAAGCAAGACCTCTTGAAATCCCTAACCATTACAAGACCTCTTGAAATCCCTAACCATTACCAGATCCTTGCTCAATTGTGTGCAAATGGCCAGTGTTACATAATTTGTGCTTTTTTTTTTCTCTGCTTTTATTATCCTCTCTGCCAATCCTATTTTGCATGACTAATTTCACTTGAGGTCCTCTAGTTTCTCATTTTCCTGACAGATTTTAAAGTTTTTCTTTTTAACTTATGCCTTAGAACTTGTGACTTGTGCTTCTGATTCCTAAAGTTTCATCATCTGAAGTTTGAAACCACAATGCTCAAAAGGACAAGCATGGATTGTTAATATTTTTACACATACAAATGTGTGCGTGCTCACTTGATATGCTTGTTCTTTTTTGGATTTGATACGCAGTATAAAGTATGAACGTTGTTTACTAATTAATCCGAACCTTATGTAGGTATAATGGAACAGAAGGCGTCCATACTAAAGTCACAGATTTTGAGAGGGATAAAGAGTGTCTTGTATGTGGTCCTGGTGTACTTATTGAAGTGGAACCTTCAGTCACTTTGCAGAAGGTTATTTCTCAGCTCTTGATTCCTGAACCTATATTAATTAGAAATTTAGCAGTTCAATCCAATTATTTTATGTTTGTCTATTCTTGATGTCTTTCAAGGGACTAGACCAACAATATATATAATGAAACTGGAACTACCATGTCGGCTTGGCTGCAGTTTATACAGTCATACCTGGTTGTGAATATACCTCTATTCCTCTCTTACTAAGGCCTTCTTTTGCCATTATCTTTTTCATCTAATACTATGCGTTTTAAAATGCTGTTAAACTGGAGTATTTGAATTTCGATATTTTAGTGTCTGCATTTTGCAGAGTAGCTTCTTGTCTTCTTGTTAGTTCATTTGACTCGGTGCCCTTGGAAGAATTTGCAAGATTATTTTGGGGGCACACAAATCATCTTCTTGTCAAACCTTCATAGTTACTCAAGTTTTTTAATGCTCCCATTTATCTTTTCTCTTTCTTTTGTCTTTCTTAACTATTGGCTGTATAGAGAACTGTCATGCGAGGGGGTCCTTAATAGAAAGCAAGAAACATTCCATTTTTTGGGGAAAGGACCATGGTCTGGATCTTCAGCATGAGGGTTGTCCCCTCTTTTACGTCGTTTTATACAACAACAACAACAAAAAAACCTTGTCCCACTAGGATTGTCCATATCCAAATGAGATTTGACAGAATTTTATGTTAATTGTTGAGAGCTTAACACAACTCTCTTCCTTTATCCGGGCTAGAGATTGGCTATAAAACATAGGTGGAGTTCCTTTATGTCATTTTATGAAGGAAAATATTCTTTCATCAACCAGATAGTTTGCATCTCGACTCTGAATTAAAACAAGGATCATGGGCTAATAATGGTTACTTGCATTATTTTACTAGGTTGAGTTGTTCTCTTATGCTGTTACGGGTCTTTAGGCAAATGATGTTTGATTTATCTTTGGCCTATGCCCTTCTAATGTGCTTTAAATCTTATTGTGGCAATAGTTCATTGATCTTCTGGAAGAACATCCTAAGTTGCGGTTATCACGAGCCAGCGTCTCTCACCGGGGAAAGAACCTGTACATGCAAGCCCCCCTTGTATTGGAAGAAATGACTCGATCCAACCTGGGCTTAAATCTTTTTGATCTGATGGGCAAATTATCCAAGGATATTGTTCACGTGAACGGTACAACCACCAAGAATGACCAGAAAATCACCTGTCTGAGAAAATTATCAGTTGTTTTCAGGGGAGTTGATGGGGTTACAGATATGGACACAGCTGGAGGAGCGTGACTTTGGTTCAGGGCTATACAAATATGAAGGGTTTAAGATTTAAGAGACCACGGCAGATTACTAATATTGGTGAGGCAGGGAGAATTATGAAAAAGATCTGAGTGTTATGGCATTTATCCGTAAGAATCAAATAACCACTCAATATGGCTATTCAATTCAAAACCAAATGATCTAAATAACAATATGGTTTGATTATTTGGCCGTGTCAGATGAAATTGAGGATGGGCCAACTTCATGAACTTTTACAGCACTTGGGGTTGGAGATTTGTTGCCCGCTGGATCTCAGGCTTGGCTTACCGGCAATTCCTTTTTATCATATGCTTAGTTAGATTGGTGTAGATCAGTTCCACTGGGGATTTAACTTTTTAGCTTTTATTTTCTTTGAAGTGAGACGCCTCTTTTTCTGATGTTTGTAGTTTCACCTCAATGGTTTTCGAGAGAATGAATATACTAAGCTACTTTTGACACCCATGCTATTGGAATTCTTAAACTAGAACGCAAATCAGATAAATTCAGCATGTAGATCCCACGACACTTGGGAACGAGAATTTGCTTTGCTGGTGTAGTTCCTGGATTTATAAAATTATAAATCAAATAAAAATTCAAATTTTTGTAGTTATAATACAATATTAGTAAGTCTTATTTTATTAAGTAGGGTCAGTTATGTAAATTGTACAATGATATTTTACCTTATTAACGGCTAAATTTATATATATATATATATATATATTGTCAATCAAAAGATTTTGTTCGAAAACCTCATTGAATATTTTATTTGATCTTCTTCAACTCTTGGTTTGAACTATCCATTCCACCCTCTTCATAGTCACCAGTGCCTCTAATGAATTTTTTTTTTTAACATATTCAAATTATCTTAAATGATATTTTTACTATTTTCTATTCAATAGATGTCAATTTTAATATATGTTTACACATTTGTTTCAACATCTTTATATCTGATATTTCATTTTATGTTCTAGTTATTCCATTAAAATCTAACATTTACTATTATAATGTCATATAACATGATCATTGAGCATGTAAGAGATAGATTAAGCAACATTAGCTATGAGTTTTCAAATTTTATGTACGGATAGGCTAATTTTTGTGCCCAAAATCTTGCTAAATATGCTTTAGCTAGTGTATGTAGTTTTTGTGCTTTTAATCAACCCCTATCTATTTGCACAAAGGTGGTACATGATAAGAAGAATAGACTATGTATGAGAACTAATTGTTTTTGAATATAGTCTCTTGTATTATTAAAAAAAAATGATCTCAATAGTTTGATAAAATTTTTCTTTAAATTTATTAGGTGCTTTGTTTTTATCACAAATAATTTCAGTAGCATTTTTCCATTTGAATAACCTAATTTGCATTCTACATGCAACATTCATATCAATTTTAATATTATTTTATATAATTACTTCTAAACATCTAAACTTTTTATATCATTTTTTAAAATAGAGGATGTACTCCTGTTCTACTATTCCTCATGCATATGGCTTGTTATAAATTTTAAATTTAATCTTGATAATGAGAAATTTTTTTAAAAACTCAGCCTTTGAGTACATAGAGATAGAATCACGTTCGCCATGCATAGATTGGTGCCTCATCTGCCCACTCCCACCTAATATTCAATCACAAACTCCGAACTCAGAAGTGATGGTGACCACCAAAGAAACCTCCCACATATTGAGAGATATGGTGCCATTAGATCGCCTATATAATAATGAACAAGAACCGCTTGAAGCTTTTATTTTATTGGAAGCTGAATAGGAACCAGAAATAAAAATATCCCATTATTTGATTAAAAAAAAATTAACTCATATGTTGGACACTCTCTTAATTGCTGGGTCCTTCCTCTCCTTCCTACTTTTTCTCAGTCTGTCTTAGCTGAATCAATCATTCAGAATCCTCATCTTCATCACTCTGTGTTGCTGCCCCACCACCAGACTCTGACTCTGAGAATCCGATGATGAAGCTAACCAACGCAACATGTGCTTCATGCCTCGAGCTTAATTTCTCTCAAGCTCCAGCTCATTTTTTTTTCAAACCCAGTAATTTCTGGGATTTCCCTTTTTTTTTTTTTAACTGGTTTACATTCGCCTCCAATATGATTATTTTTTGTTTTCTTCTTACTAATTTTCTCGTATATTGCAGACATTGGGAGATTTTGTAATTTTAAACACATACGAACATTGGCTCGGAGCTTATTATGGCGCCGTGAATGATAAGTGAGATTTCATTGTTAAAGAGAGCCCACAAGCCCAAGAAGGAGAGAGAAATCCAGGCCACATGTTCGTTGTTGAAACTTTGACCAACAGTTAAATGAAACAAAAATTGGTTCAATTTTATTAATCCCAGAAGAATCGCCTTGGTGGTGCGGGTGGAGTGAGCTGCATAATTCGCAACCATTTCGAAGATTTCGAAGCGAAAGAGAAATGGCGGTCGTCTACTTTGCTTTCTTCACTCTCCTCCTTCTGCCTCCTCTTGCTGTGCTCATTCTCCTGTACTTCATCGTGCGGCCCCGTCCGGTGAAAATCCCGATCAAGAATCGCCACGTGTTCATCACCGGGGGTTCAAGTGGGATCGGTCTCGCCCTGGCCCGCCAGGCTGCGGCTGAGGGAGCTCGCGTCTCGATCCTTGCTCGTTCTGTGGATAAGCTCGAGGAGGCTAGGAATTCGATTCGCCTCTCTACCGGCATTGATGTGGCCGTCTACTCCGCCGATGTGCGCGACTACGATGCCCTGAAACGTGCCGTTGATGAGGCGGGGCCTATTGATGTGTTGATTGTGAATCACGGGGTGTTTTGGGCCACGGAGATCGAGAAGCAGGAATTGTTTGGCGTGAAGTTCATCATGGACGTGAATTTAATGGGGAGTTTCAATTTGATTAAGGCTGCGTTGCCGGCAATGAAGAACAGGATGGACCGCGGACCTGCTTCTATTGCTATTATGTCATCGCAGGCTGGTCAGGTATTGTCCTATACTTCGAAAAGATTATGGTGTTTCATTATCAATTTTATTTATCGTCCTAAAGCGATCTGTGTTTGTGAGATATGGGATTTGAATATGTTTCATCGATACAATTGCTTTGGCAAACTTCTAGAAATGGCTGTGATTTCAGCTCGCTATCTAAAGCGGATTTGGATTCGAACCAAAGATGTCTTGATGGGCATCCTGTAAACGCTTACTAGGATCTTGAGCTTGCCCTGCTAGAAATTTGATTAGCATGGAATAGCAGGCAGAACTCAAAATTTTTAAGCCTGCAAACTTAATCTTACGTTTATGTGTAGACTGACTATCAAGAATGCTTTAAATTTTCATTCATATAATCACAGAAATTTCTGTCGAGTTTTCCTGGAAAACGGGATATACTGGAATTGTACAATCAATTAAAACAATCACATTTTGGGTGTATCAGTCAAGAGCTCCACTCTCTGACACAAAATCCAGTCAAAAAGTGCTTATATATCAAAACTGATAGCAACTCCCTGCTTGTGGTTTCATGAAGCAACTAACTTGATTGCAAAGCATAGTATTATACACCAAAAGAAAAACAAAATTAACATATTCAACTCACTAGAACAAGTGCTGGGCTTGGCACTGCGGAGGTGACTTGATTTATAATGTTGGAGTCAGACTTAGGAAACATTGCACTTGAAAACATGGAAAAGAGGAAGTGTGAGTTATGAGAACCCAATGAGTAAATAGCATACCAGGAAAACTGAAGGATGGCAAGCATGACACCTGTTTTTTTTTTTTTTTTTATAGAAAATCCATAAAATATCATGGTGTCAAAAGTCAAGAAGTCTGTATGCTTCAATAAATCAATTAATCAACAAAAAGTGTTTTACAAATTACAACATTTCACTTGGGGTGGAAGTTTTGAAAGAAATATTATGGTTCCGGACAACATTTCAAAGAATAAGCAAACTGAGTATAATGAGTTCAACTACCAAATGCATAATAAATTTATAGGACTGAGTAATTCTGCATCAGTTGAAACAAGCATCAAAATAGAATAAAACAAGTTTAAAAAAATATATAATGATAACATTTTCAATTTCAAATTCCTTTGAAATTTCACTGTCTGGGGGACTACAACCAGAACAGCTTGTATTGAGCATGCAGATCATGTTGCTAACTAGCCTGATCTATTGTGATCGCTCAGATCATGTGGGGAAAATATAAATAGCCAGATTTGTTGCGAGCACGCCATTAATGAAGTAAATCATGATCAAAGGGAACTTTGCTTGGTATTATCTCTCTCTATCACATCTACTGATCCCGAAAGGCAGCTAGCATCACCTTACCTTCGTTAGTTGGGGTTCAAGCCATGGTGCAGTAAAGATCAATAAAATTGCTATTAGCACCTAGCATTTCATAGATAAGTCCCTGCTAATAAATATCACAAATGAGTATGAAGTACATGAATTTCATTTCATCAATTCATTGGGAAATTGGCACTACCGTGTAGAATATTTTCATGCTCATTGCAGGCCCAAGATCATACCACCTTAGAGTATCTTACTTAACAGCTTCGAGGACAATAGAGATACATAGTTGATTGTTTGAACATATATGTTAATTTTTCTTGCCTCGGATTCTAAAACTGTTAATAAATCTATAACTTAGTAGTATAAAGTTATGTATCTGTTGACATGAACTTATTTTTTTTTTTTTGTAGGTGGGTATTTATGGTTATACAGCTTATGCTGCCAGTAAATTTGGGCTTCGTGGTCTGGCAGAGGCACTGCAACAGGAGGTTATAGCAGATAACATTCGTGTTTCTCTTATATTCCCTCCAGACACAGACACTCCTGGTCTATCAGAAGGTATTGAATAGTTCTTGAGTTTATTTATTTAAATACATCATTTTTGGTAACTCATCAATATTCATTTTGTAGTGGTTATGAGTTAACTAGCCTCTTGGATATCATCTGTTATTTGTTCAAGCTCATCATGGATGTGAGGAGCCGTGATCTAGAGATCAGAATACTTTAATCCATAAATAGAATGATTTACTACTTAGAATCTCAAGATGATTGTCATTTTCTTGGCTAAATATTTCCTTTTGGTGGGCATTGATAACATAGAAAATTCTGTTTCTAATTTCCATTATATATGAGCGAGTTGTGGAATCAGTCTTGACGGGAGTAGTATATAGCAAGAGAATGCTCATAACACATGATACAGTTACTGAATATAGGGTTCTGTGTATTCTTAGAGTTACGATTTCATGGAATTAGAATGTCAAAATGTGTTTCTTTAGTATGTATTGTGTATAAGATGTCTGATTATTCGATCCCTTGGAATTTCTTTCTTTCTTTCTTTCTTCTTCTCCAGTTTTTTTTTTTTTTCCCTGTAGTGAAGTGTATTGATAAACTGAAACATGCTCTTTACAGAAAACAAGAAAAAACCACAGATAACCAGTTTAATTGTGGCCTCTGGCGGTTTAATGAAAGCTGATGAAGTTGCTCGGAGGGCATTAAATGGCATAAAATCTGGAAGCTTTTTCATCCCCTGCAATCTTGAGGGATACTTGCTGGCCTTAGCAACTTCTGGTTTTTCCCCACAAAGCTCGTTCTTGATGGCATTTGTTGAGGTTTTTGCTGCTGGAATATTACGCATTGCTGTACTATTCTTCCAGTGGACTTGGTACAGAAGTATAGAGAATTTCCATACCCAAAGACGTGGTAAGTGTTAGACAAACTGATATATCTATGAAGGGATAGAAGAAACATTCCGTCCTTATCTTCTAATTTATTTAAACCCAAGTTTCTATCTCAAATATGCTAAACTTCTTTGGTTAATATTAGAGAACTTCAAATTTGCTTGCTTGCTTATGTAATTGTTAACATACGATGTTAGGGCATTAAATTTTTTATTCGGGATATAAAGTGAAAAAATAAAGTCAACTTTCTTCTTTTAAAACTTTTAAAACCTTGCAAAATTATAATTTCCTGAAGATTGTTTGAAGGAATTAACCTTGTGCTCTGGTTCAGTCTTCATGCACTTGGAAAGGTTCGCTATCTTATTTCCATTTAGTTATTGATCTGAACCTGCCTTCCCCCCACCCCACCTCCCCGGTTCTTTTTTTTTTATCCCGGGTTAGAGAAGAACCGTTTGTTTCATCACTTGGAAAGGTTTGTTATAAAATGATCAATGTTGCCTGATGAGATCATTTGCATACAGGATAACTGATCCTGTTAAATTTCTCACCCCCCCCCCGACCCTTTTTGTTGTTGTAGGCAAATAGATGCTCTTAGGAGGATTCTTTTCACCTGAGTTTCTGCTATCATAGCTGCCCTCATCAACTTTATGATGGTGTATGGTCTCCTGAAGTTGCTAAAAATCTACTATGATCTCCTGAAGCTTCTAAAAATCTAGAAGCTGATTCAAATCACAATCCTGCTACTATACTTGTGATATTTTGATGAATTGTTCTTCTATCAGTTTCAGACAATCCTCAATGAGCCGAAACTCGTCCCCGTGGCCTGTTTTCAGGCATGTGATAGCAGATAACGGGATATGGTTTTGTTCCAGTCTTTTAACGTCGAGACTATGATTTATCAATTATGATAAACGAGAACTCATTAATTTTGTAATCAGAGTCAAAGTCAAATTCAGGTTGATGGTTTCCTTACTTTACTTACACGAGAATAAGGTATGCGTGGTTGGAAAGGTAGGTTTAGAAAATAGAGGGGAATGGTAAGGTGATGAAAGTGATTTTCAGTCTAGATGGATGCAAGTCGCATGCAACAGTCTTTCATATGTTATAGTGGACTATTTTGAGATAATTTTAAAATAATGTGAATGAGAATTATATGGCGCATAAAGTGAAAAGAATGGTAGTTTTAAAGGAGATCGTGTCACCGGCAGTGAATAACCACAAGATATTTACTCGTGACGTGGTTTTCCTTTTGCCTGTGAGATCCCACCATAGTAGCAGAAAAAGGGGTTTTTTTTTTTTGGGGGGGGGGTGTGGGATAGGGAAATGGCAATTGGAGGGGGTGGGATGGGTAAAAGTGGCATAACATGATAACAAGCAGAAGCTAGTACAATCCAACGGAGTTGGAGGGGGTTCAGAAGTACAAATTAATCTGTCATTAAACTTTGATTTTTAATTTATAATGGAGGTACAGTGATGAGAAACTGCAGAGAGAAACCAATTCCAACAGAGGTAATGCAGTTGAGAGATTCAATGAAACCAAATGCCGTTTGGTCTGTGAGTTCCAAAGCATTCTCTATCGTTCCATACAACAAGAAAATATATCTTATTTGATGGGATCGATTCTATGAGTTGTATTATATTATTGTGCTTTATTTTTTATCAAATTTGTTGGTATATTGTTAATTAAAAAAATCCTAGTCAATAACTTTCGCAAGTGTCTTCTTTAACTTTTCTCTACATCTTTTTATAGAGATTAAAATTATCTATTTCACTTTTCTCGCTAATGTCTCTTACAGTTTTGTCTATATATGTCCAAATAATTTTAAATAATTTTCTATCATTTTTTTTTCAATAAATGATGCACATGTTCTTTCGTATATTTTCATTTTGAATTTTATTTTTACGTGCATTCCCACGTATTTATCTTAACATTTTCATATGCTACTCCAACTTTTTTCTCCTATCCATTTAAAGCCTAATATTTACTATCATAAAATATAATTTGTCTTATAGTAATTCAATAAAACTTTCTTTACGTTTATGAGGTACTTTTCAACTACAAATAAGTTTTTTTCAATTAAACTCCTGAACATTCCAATCCATTTTTCTATTATGTTAAATAATGACTTTCAAATATTTTAACTTTTTTATTTGAGATATAATTTGATCTTTCAATTTTACTTTCAAATTATTATTGATTGACCTTTTATTAAATTTACAATGCAATATTCTATTTTATTTTTACTCAAGCGGAAATCTTTCGTCTCCAATATCATCCTTCATAATTCAAGTTTGCAATTAATCTCTTCTCTTATCTTTATTATAATGATTATATCATTCACAAAAAGTATGCACTTAATCTCTTATTTTATTTTCACAATAAAAATTATATCATTATCTATTGTTTCATGTGAATTTATATTTTGCTGTCACAATTTTTTTGGTTTTTGTTTTAATGTTAGTCATGTGTTCACTCTTAACAAAAAACAAAAAAAAAAATTAATGCACCTAATACAATGATGATGACAAAAAGATTATGGCATTAAGAAAGGTGGAAACTTTTATATTCTTTAAAATTTTTATGAATTATGACTTCTAACCCTGTGAATTAAATAACTGTTTTCTCTTATAAATATAAAAAAAAATTAATCTTTTAGTCCCTCAACTTTTAACTCACTTGTAACTCAGTTCCTCAACTATGACTCGCTGCGACTCAGTCCTTCAACTATAACTCGTTGCAACTCAATCCCTCAACTTTTGATTTACCTATAACTCGGTTCTTTTTTTTAATTTTTTTAAAAAATTTTTTTATCAAATAAGAGGGATAAAAAAAATATTCATATATTATTTTAAAATACCCTCTTCTTATTCATTAATGTGAGATATAAGTTAACATGAAAAAAAAATTAACAAAGATTAAGGGATTAATTTGTAAGTGATTCAAAAGTTGAGGGACTGAATCAAAGGCGAGTTATAGTTGAGGGACTGAGTCACAGCGAGTCATAGTTGAGGGATTGAGTTACAAGTGACTTAAAAGTTGGAGGACTAAAAGATTAATTTTTCCTAAATATAATGTCACTTATTCCTCTCCACATTTTGATAACTTTATTTTTTTTAACTCGTTCTATTTCATTTTTTTTTAGCAACCGGACGGATCTAATTGTTTAGAGGAAGAATTTTTCTTTCCTTATTATGTCATGGGCACGGAATTAAGTCTTACACAAACTTCCCAAAAAAAAAAAAATTCAAACCCATGCTCCCCTATGTATAACTGTTTAAAAATCTTATCTTCTTTTTTTCTTTGATAAACGGATAAGAATCTAATCTAATTATGCGTAAAGGAAAATAATTTTACATGCATTCCACCTTCTTGTTTCGTTCTTCTCTTTGAATATATAATTATATAATTTATAAATAAACATATTCATTTTTTTCACTTCTAACGCTTTTTTAGATAACCATTTAATATCGAACACTATCAATTAATTTCGATTTGACTTAAATTGAATTTCGATTGTAAGAAATCTCTCAACTTTTTTTTAAAAGACTAGAACTCAAAATTTTATTATTATTTTGTGTGTATCCATATATTGAACATTCAATTTTGTTTAAGACATTATCAAATATAAATGTCAAACACTTATCCCAGCTGGATTTGAACTTAACTTTGTTATGTTGTAAAACTTTAGCCCCTTTCATTCAGCTTACTATGTTGGTAAATTTTATTTACTAAGAGCACTATTTAGATACTTATCACTTAATCCAACAACTCCAAGTGGCGTCTCGAGATCTTAAATAAGGCTTTTTATTACACATCTTAACGGGTTAAGTGTGTTAGTGCGTATTTGCCCAAGCTTTCAACACTAAACTTGAGCATTGTGGATTGTGACTGAAGAAATGGAAATTTTAGGCCGAACAGGCAGAACGGGCGTCAGAAACAAGGGAGGATTGATGAAAAGGATCAAGTTAAAAAATAAATTATGTCCAATGATTAAATTAAATTTAAGGACCAAATTAAATATTTTATCCATTAAATAATTTAAACAAATGATTAAAATATCTCTGTCTAAACTAACGAAATTGGAAAAAAAATAAGCTATATGTTCAACACGTGCACCTTTAAATCAGATCCTTTACACTTGAAGTCAGGAGCCTTACATCTCAACTAGAAGTCTTGCACCTTAAATTAAAATTTTTACACCCTTTAGTTGTTAAGTTCACATGTAATCCTTGATAATTACATGTAATAAAGGTGTGTTGAATTTTTTTTCAGTGACACTTTTCAGCGAAGCACTTGTTAGAGTTTCGACAAGCACACTGTCAATTGTTGAAGGAGTGGTTGGCGCTCCAGTCAGAGGTCGCCGGAGCACCAGTAATAGGATTTTTTATTTTTTCTTAATTTCATTTTTGTTAACATAGAGGAATATTTTGGCCATTTGATCAAATTATTTTATGAATAAAATAATTTTTATAATTTTTATCGTTTATTTTTTTTTATTTTTTGGATTGCAATACAACATATTAAAATGCTTTATGGATGAAATATATTTATATATATCGTCACTTGTTACAGTTAGGTAACCCTTGAAATCTTAAGCTTGTTATGCCTCTCTATTCATCAACACTAATCGTATGCTATATATCGATGATTGATATTGATATACTTCACATTCTTCTCACTCTCAATACTGTCGTTTTGTTTTTGTTTTCTTAATCCCAGTCATGATTGAGGTACCCAAAAAAATCCCAATCATGCAATTATTTTAAATTGAGAGAATTAGTAGAAAAGACCTTGTTAAAACCGAAAGTATGTCCAAGGACCAAAGTAAATTGAAAGATCAAACCTATTATTGTATTCATAAAATAATTCAATCGAATGAGCAAAATGCTCCTTCAATAGTTGATAATGCAATTGTCAGAACTCTGACAGGCAGGTGGAGGGTCAGTGGAAAACTTCAACACTCCTTAATTGCTCGTAATTGTTAAAAATCACATGTAAACTCAGTGTAATGATTTTGGCTTATGATGCAAGGTTCATGGCTTGATGTGTAAGGTTTTTTGTTTGAGATGCAAGGTTTTTAGTTTAAAGTATAAGAAATTTGGTTTTGGATACATATGCTAAACAAGCAACTTTTTTTTTAATTTTATTGGTTTAAATAAAAAGGTATTTTAATCATTTATTTATATTATTTGATAAATAAAATATTTAATTTGATCTTTGAATTTAACTTAATTTTTTGACACAGTTTCTCTTTCAACTTGCTTTTTTTTTTTTTCCCCGATTCTCTCTAGAAGGATTTTTTTTTTTTTTTTAAAAGCAATTTTGTTACTTGTTTGCTGTGGTTGGCGTTCCATTTGTCTCTTGCCTGCAGAACCCGGTTACCGTTGAGAAGGCGCAATCTTGATTCGACATGGCATCGTCCATCGTGAAGCGAGCTACTTGCTCCGTCGTGGCAGGTCTTCGATTCGGGGCGTCACTGAGGTCTTACGCTGCTAGGGTTGCATCTGGCACAGACTTAATCGCCGCTGCTCCCAATGTTTCTCTTCAGAAGGCTCGTTCCTGGGATGATGGAGTCTCATCTAACTTCTCCACTACTCCTCTCAAAGATATCTTCAAGGTTTCCCCTCCTCAATTTCTGGTTACTATAATTTTCTTCTCATAAAATGGCGAATTTTCAATTTGTTCCATGCGTTGTTATGTTGAAATACTAGCAACGTTAACTGATATTAGTGGCGAACTTTGGATGAAATAAGTAGAATGGCAATGTTGCAACTTGCTAGCATCTTTACCTTCTTTGAGGACATTGTGAATTATGAATTAAGTTGAAAGTTGTACCTATCTTTCAATTATGTCTTTGTTTTTTCTTTATTTGTTTCATCAGATTTGGTCTCACTTTCTAATGCCTTTTTTACTTGTCAATTTGATATTTCAGGACAAGAAAGTCGTCATCTTCGGCCTTCCAGTAAGTTAGCATGATAGTATGTTATAAATAATGTATAATACATCATACATTTTATGGTGTTTGTATTATAGTTAGCATCTGTTCCCTCAAATTGAAATATCATAGTGGATGTATTTTGTTTGTTTTCGCTGTGTTTGTTGCTCTTCATTCAGAGAAATAAATGTTATTAATAGTGAGGGAAGGGATGCTTTCTATTTGTGCAAGACAGAGAGCTTTTTAAAGGAATCGTGGATTGCTTTACTCTTATTACGGAGAAACTTTACATTGTTATTTGTGTTCATCGAAAATACTCTGCTTATCATGATGCTTTGGGCTGTCCCAGGGTGCATATACAGGAGTTTGTTCAAACAAACATGTCCCTGCTTACAAAGATAATATTGAGAAGTTTAAGGCTAAAGGCGTTGATTCTGTTATTTGTGTGTCTATTAATGATCCATATGTTATGAATGCATGGGCGGAGAGACTTCAAGCGAAAGATGCTGTAAGCTGGCCCTTCCCTTCTTCTTGAGTATTAAGAGAACCATGTACTTTGTGACTTCAATTTCCCTCCTCAGCAATAATGTGTTGGCGATTAGTTTTTGGCTTTAAAAATTAGTCATTGTCTATTAACACTTCCATCTTTGCAGTCTTCTTGTTTGGAAACCTACAAGAGCATTCATTTTGCTTTCAAACCTTTTGTGTTTCCGTTATACTACTAGTGTTTGCAATGATTTGGTATTTTGTTTACCAGTCATTGCAACACATAATAACGGCTTGTCTTTTCTAGCATTGGATATTTAGAAAATGAGAAGGATTAGAGACTTTGGTTTTTATTGTAGTGAGTGGGTGGCTAGATTACCTGAAATTGTAATACTTGTTAATTGTTAATGTGCACGAAGAATGAAGGGATTTTTAAGAACTTCAACCTGAGAAGTCCAAGATTGTATTAATCTATACAAGATTGTGTGCTTCGAAACACATAATATGGTCATATCAAGATTGTGTTCTTCGAAATACGTAATATGGTCAGCGTTGCAGAGTATTAATTGTGTCTGATTATCATTCTTCAATAACTGATTTTTGGGGTGTAAAATGTTTCATTGCAGATTGAATTTTATGGGGACTTTGATGGAAGCTTCCACAAAAGCCTTGATTTAGTAACAGATCTCTCGGGTGCTCTACTTGGAACTCGATCTCAAAGGTATGTCCTAAAATGCTGTATGTGCATGATTGATTATCAAGTGGTTTTCTTGTTTGAGAGAATCTGCTTTCTCAGTAACGATACGCATCTTCTTTGCCTTCCAATAATATTTTTGTATCTCTAAAGAATAGCTGCTGTTGTTTTGGTGCAGATGGTCAGCTTATGTGGTAGATGGGAAAGTTAAGGCTCTTAACGTTGAAGAAGCTCCATCTGATGTCAAGGTTTCTGGTGCAGAGACCATTCTGGGACAGATTTGAAGTTTCTGTGCTTTTTATGCAACTAAGATGTAATAATATGTTCTTTTTCCCCCCACGTAAGATGTAACTCTCCAATAAATTGTATCTGATGCTTACAGCAGAGAAGAGAGACAATGCTGTGATGTGAGTTGAGTCTCTGATGCTTCCTTGTTTTTCATATGCTTCCAATAAAACATAATTTGTTAGGGTGCCACATATTGTTAAAATTACTCTGGTTAAAATTGAAGGTTTTGCAGCTGCATATTATATACGTGGAAAAAAGCAATGTGAAATGCAACAATTCATTTGAAATTTACTTCTTTTTTTATTTAATTTGTTTTTTATTTTTAATTTATGTAATAAATATGTACATTTGCTAAATACAAAATATTCAGATTCGATCATTAGATTGGTTCGGTATCGCACTCCTATCACTGGGATCCTATTAGCGACTGGCCAGTCTCTTCTACGCTAATGTTCAAAGGTGAAGTTTACAAGTGTCAATTACAGTTCATTGTTATTATTTTATATACAGCAATTAATGTATAAATCATGAGTTTCTCTCTTCGTATGATTTATTTTCAGCATTGTATGATCAGGTAAATTTTGGAATCATTGTTCAAAAATACTAAGGAATGCTAGAACTTGCAGTAGCAGTAGTGACAGAACTCCACCGCCTGGCCAACACACCCTTGAGCTTATCCTAACTCGTATGCCCATGCGAGCATGACCGGAGACCTCCACATATGAAGCTCCTATGACACGTTGGCATTATAACTTACACGTGGCACCCCTATCCTATTATATCTGTCAGCCATTCCCCATTTGAGGGGGCATTGCTTATCCCTACAGCATCATCCTCTACCCTTTATCACAACACGTAGTTCTAACTCGCCTCCTTATATTATTATACTGAATGCACTTCATCTTCAAGAAGCAAAAAGTGTTCATCTTTCACAATCACATTGTGTGTTGTTGATTCTGCAGAAATGGCCAGCGATGAGCAGAAGTTCCCTCCCCAGAGCCAACAAACTCACCCCGGCCAAGAACATGTCATGGATCCAACCCCGCAATCCATGATTCCTGACTACAAGCCTTCTAATAAACTCCGGGTATACAAACATACATACATACGTACATATATTTCTCCCTCTCTCCCCCCTCCCTCTCTCTCACTCTCAGTCTCGTAAACAATATACCAATATATTCAAAGTTTAGTCGTTGATAGGGTAACCGACTCCAGTGACATGATAATTGTTGTTTGTCTCACTCAAGTTGCTTGTATACTCTGAAGTCTGAAGTCGGGAAGAGAATTTTTTTTTTTTTTTTGGCTATTTACTAGTCATGCTATTAAATTTTTATTGCAAGTTTCCCGTTTTACAACTCAATATCGATGAAAGAAAGTGTGTTATCACAATATTCATATTTAATAGAAGGAAAATTAGAGACTTCTTAAATTTTTAAACAAGACTTAAAGTTTTAAGTTTTTTCGGTAAAATTTGTGTGCCATTTTCTATAATTTAATGGTCGATTTGGATCAATGGTTTGGAAAATAGGGAAAGGTGGCGTTGGTGACAGGAGGAGACTCAGGGATTGGAAGAGCGGTGTGCATAAGTTTTGCGAAGGAAGGTGCAACAGTGGCCTTCACGTACGTAAAGGGACTAGAGGACAAGGACAAGGACGATACTTTACAGATTCTGCTTCAGTGCCAGACGGCGGACGCGAAAGAGCCAATGGCTATTGCTTCTGATATTGGTTACGAAGAGAATTGCAGGCAGGTGGTTGATGTCGTCGTCAAAGAGTATGGACGTATCGACATTCTGGTCAACAACGCAGCCGAACAGCACATGACAAAGTCTCTCGACGACATCACTGAACCGCGTCTTGAAAGGGTCTTTAGAACCAACATCTTCTCACAGTTCTTCTTGGTCAGGTAATTAAGCGCTTATCACACTAATCCATCTCACTGATAAGACTCACAAGGAAATCTTGATCGGGCCATTTTCAATCTCGTGTGTGTGTGTGTGTGTGTGTTCTATAATCAACTATGATCAAATTAGCTTTGCTTGTTGATCAATTTGAGATCTTGTGATAAGATCTGATACATTTATGGTTGTAATTGAGAAATATGGCTTGTTGATCAAGTTATTAATTTTTTCTCAAAGAAGTTTCATAAGATGATTCGGTTATTTTGCATGTTTAAGGCAGGTTTGAGACTATAGGATGGAATGGAGTGTGGCAATCATTAATTAAATGGATTGGAGTGTAGTGGGATGAAGTGAAATGGAAAAGAACAGTCCATTATTTAGGAATTTTACTAGAAGAATGAATTATTTTATTTAATCATTATTTAAAAATTATTATAAAATTAATAGATTTGAGTTACTTAAAATTATGTTTTTCAAGTTTGGGAGGAAGTCAGAGAGTGAGAGGGGAGAGGGTATTTTTTGATAATGTTATTTATATTAAATCATTCCATCCTATATTTTTCAAATTAGAGGTCAGAAAAAAAAAAGGTTTAAAATGACTTTGAAGATGATCCCACTTTTTTTTTTTTGGAAAAAAAAAGCTGTAAGTTATGGTATGAAATTTCTAGTCATTTCACCTCTTTCCATTCCATCCAAAAAAAACTCCCGAACACTACCACATTTTTCATAACATTTGCATAACATTTGCACGTGTGGGCTTTTTTAACAAGGCTTTTTCCATGTTAAATTTTATGTTTTATTTTCTGTTACTTTTATTTTCTTATTTCTCTTTCCTATTGTTTAATATTGTTTTTGAATCCATCATTTTTTCCCGCAATATTTGGTGCAGGCATGCAGTGAGGCACATGAAAGAAGGGAGTGCAATAATCAACTCAACGTCAGTGAACGCGTACAGTGGAAACCCCATGACGCTGGACTACACGGCAACGAAAGGAGCCATTGTGGCATTCACGAGAGGCCTTGCCCTCCATCTGGTGAGCAAGGGGATCCGGGTCAATGCTGTGGCGCCGGGGCCGGTGTGGACGCCATTACAGCCGGCATCAATGCCTCCAGAGATGATCCAGAATCTGGGGTCCGATGTCCCCATGAACCGAGCAGCTCAGCCTTCCGAGATTGCACCATGTTACGTATTCCTGGCTTCCCTTCAGGACTCTTCCTACTTCACTGGTCAAGTCCTCCATCCAAATGGTACATCTCCCTATAAATATAATCCTAATATAATCATACAATAAATCAAAATTGTAAATATATTTTATTCCTGAGCTTTTTATTTTTTGTTTTCAGGCGGGATGATCGTCAACGCTTGAAGTTCCTTAACCCTCAACTGTAGGTATGAGACATGTTTCTTGTGGAGAATCATAACACAGATGGACTCTAGGATGGAACTTTGTGTGTGTCTGTGTGTTAATGATATTGAAAAGTTCAGAGTATATCAAGTATAGCGTATAGGCGTATGAACTTTAAAATGTAATAAGTGAGTTGGCTTCTAAATGAAGTTCCCAGTGTTCTTTTATGTTTTTAAGATTTTTCAAAATTTGTGAATTAATTTTGTTAGCAAAATTTTAATTTGGAGTGTTTTTTATGAACTATATATGATATGATTTTGTTTGTAATTTGTCAGTTATCGCAAGCTCTTTCATCCTCTCTTTATCTCCCTCATAAAAAGGGAAAACTCGAGTCTAATTGTGTACTGATAAAAGAACAATGATACTCGCATGTTATTATATTCTCGATTATGGGATTTGCACAAAAATGAGTATCTTGTTGTAAGGTCCAAAAGAGGACATATTAAAACCAGGGTTATACTTCATTCCCATCCCAATTCATGGGAAAATAGAAGCCATGGAATAATAATAATAATAATAATAATAATAATATTGTTAAATGACTACGCCATCCGCAATTACAGAGTTCTTCAATATAATGGTAACACCAGATCTGATGTAAAACCCTTCAGAAGATCTATCAGCCTCTTGTATGCCCTGCACAATTCATCCAACATCAGTAATTTACTGCTATTCCATCATTTAAATCATTAACTCACCTAATTCGCAGTTTAACTGACACAAAATAAAATGCTAATTAATACAATGAAAAGATGAACTTGGTCTTGTAAAAAAAAAAAAAAAATACTGCACACATACACACACACAAGCAGTGGAAAGGAAATTAGGCATGAGTTGGAAGGTGTATCACATCAGCATCAGTCTATGAAAAATCATACCTCTGAGTTTGCTATTACAACGTTCCTTCCAATTCTAGCATTTTTGTCAATAATGCAGTCTCTGCAGATTAGTAATATGAAATGAGAAACTTGAGTAACTGAAACTTATGTTGACCGGTCCAGGTTTTTTTTTTTTTTTTTTTGGTCCGTTTCACCGTTTTTTAACTGGTTGACCAGGTTTCCGCTGGTTCTTTTAGTCCAGTTATGTAAGCATTCTGGACAGGACTGGGCACCAATTTCTGATTGAACCAGTTCAACCAGCCAGTCCAACCCGGTTTTCATAACATTCATTGAAATTAAATGGTTAGTAATGAAAAATTTCAGTTGCAGTTCCTACTTGATTTTGGTATTTTCTCCTATCCCTACTGGAACTCTTCCCTCAGCTAATAGTGCTGATATTTCAGCATCAGTTTCATAGAAATCAGCTCCAAGCATCACAGTATCCTGCATAGAAGTGCAATATTTTACAGTTACACAACTATGTTTTAGAATTTCTGTTGAGCAAGAGTTTTTGGGATGCTTAATTACTAAAATTGAGAAATGCTATGCAATTGATGAATCAGGTATCAATATATCTTGTTTAGAGTTCACTGTCTTGTAATAGACCAGACCTTCAAGTGAACGTTTGAGTTTATTCTGGATCGAATTCCAACCACACTGTGCTCTATGAAGGAATCAGTCAAGAAGCTTCCATGTGATACGATTGAATCAACCATCTGCATCCACAAGAACAAAAACTCGTATTTAAAATTAATAACGAACATAAAATTTATAGCAAATCACACTATTCAACAGTCATAAACAATGTTGGACATACAATATTGTATCAAGAAACTTATCTAATTGGATACTGAAACAATTTAGCTCACATCAGAAATCTTAAAGATTAACTTTTAAAGGCAAAGATAACAACCTTGCTATTTTCAATCTTTGTTGGTGGCAAGTTTCTCCTTGATGTATACGTTGGTTTTGCTGCATCGTAAAAGCTAAACCGAGGTGGCTGCAAATTAAACAAAATTTGACGTTTGAGGTTGAAGTTTGAAGATGACAGACAATAACAGGTCTCAGACATGGAATGATGAACAAATTACACTGAAGCAAATAATAACATTGATTTAAAAATATTTACTGCTTAGAATTCTAGAAGTTTAATTGACTTCACAGCTTCTCCAGGAGTTAAGTGAGCAAAGTTTGATAAGTTAGACACTCACGTGCTCAGTTAGGGCTAGATTTGCCTCAAAGAAGGATCTGATGGTTCCTATGTCCTCCCAATAGTCATTGAAAAGATAAGCCTGCACACAGATGTTTACTTCAAATAGATTTCATAGATTAATCTGTAAAAAAGTGAAGTTTCTGCTATAAAACTACATGAAGTAGACAATCTTATGCCTTTGCCTTCAGTAAAATAATAAGCTACCCTATAGAACTGTATTTAAAGGCTTTGAAATAAATACTGAGCCAGACCTTCATGTAGAATTCTCCGGCAGATGCGGGAATGACCTCAGATCCAAAGTCATTTGCGGTTGGAAAACGCCATCTGAATGATAAACATTACAGTACATAGCAATAGAAGAAAGGGAACAGACAGAAATGCCTCACATTAGACTAAGGTTATTTTCTGTACCTTAATAGGTTTAGAAGAATCTCCTTCTTGAAGACATACACTCCCATGGAAGCAATGTATGGTTTCTTTTGAGCCTCATTTGGTGAAAGACCCAGCACTGTTGTATCTACTTGCTAAAAATATGAAGCACCATTGCTAAAATACAAAGTCTAATTTCTGAAACTCACTCTATGGTGTGTTAGCAGTATGATAAACATGAGTATTACCATTGCTTTCAGATCTTCCCCTTTTGGCTTTTCACTGAATGAAAGTATCCTTCCATTGTTGTCTATCTTCATCAATCCAAAATCTGAGGCACGGCTATCATGAATCCACAGTAGAATTTTAAAATAACAGTAAATGGCAATCATTATTGAACTTGCCATAAAACATCATAGTATGAAATGACATAGCCACTTGAAGATCAATTCATTATATCAGACGACACACACACTGAGATGCCCTGACTACAGTCAGGCATATTTGCTTGTCGTAAGTATATAGAAGATAAAATGAACCATGGTGATCTCCCAGAGCTACACGTGTGAGTGAAGGATACTGAAAAAAACTGAGATCGTTACAATTTTGTAGGAGACAGATAAGTCAATCATAGAGACATTAGACATTTACATGTTTATCCATGATCGACTAGTCTCTCTCTCTCTCTCTCTCTCTCTCTCTCACGCACACAGTCTCATAAAATTATCCAATATCAAGTCCTATTGGGTCAGATTCTAGTGTTGTCGGGCACGATTAGAGATAGCTATCTTAACATGGATTTTTCTATTCATAATATTCAAAAGCATGATTTCACTCAAGGAGAATTGAGTCCCTTCCATTGTCAATCTATCTTTTGTGGACCAAGTCCCTCTAAAAATCTCTATAATTGAGAAAGCTAATATGTGAAGCAAGCAACCGACCTGTCATCCATTGGAAGACAAGAAAGAGTGATGTCTGCGCCGCTCTGCCGATGACTCTGCAAAACCACAACTCATGACTTACGAGAATCAATACTTTGAATGCATTAACCAGATTAAGAGAGCACTCTTCAACTGGCTTGAACAGGGACTTACTTTAACAAAGTCCATATAGTCCATCCTGTACAGATGGTCCCCAGAAAGAATCACAACATCTTCAATATCCTTACTTCGTCGATCCTATGCAGCAATCAAAAGCATACCCTAAACTGTCAAGCTAAACATCCTAACTACATTTAGATTCTGCTTTGACTTTTTTTTTTTTTTTTGGTGAATCTTGAGAAAAGGAAAATATAAAATGAAATACCTCAAAGAGCCAATGGAACTGACGCACAGCATCTGCAGTACCCTGAAACCAATTCTTCCCTTCTTCTCCAGGAGTTTGAGTAGCTGCAAGAACCTAAAACAGGACAAGCAACCTTAAAAGCATAAACATCGTATGAAAATGAATGTCTGTTAAGTGATTCCATTGCGTAACATCACAAAGGATGACGTGTACCTCCACAAAGCCATCCCCGAACGTGACTCCGTTGCCAGAGCTGTAAGCACGGGCAATGTGCCTGTTAAGTGATTGTGAATTGAACTGAGTCAGAATGTACACTTTGTTGATCCCACTATTAATGCAATTACTCATTGGGACATCAATCAGCCTGTAGGAACCTCCAATAGAAACCTATCATGGAACCAAAAAAGCAAAATCACAGAAAATAACTGCTCAGATCTTGGTACTGAAGTTTAGCAGAAACAGATTATACTAATGCATTCATGATGCTATGGAATTGATCAAAGAAGAAGTAAATAAGAGAAACAGAGACTTACAGCAGGTTTGGCACGACGCTTAGTGAGAGGGAAGAGACGAGTGCCAGCTCCTCCACCAAGTATGACTGCCACAACCGTTCTTGAGTCCCTTGTTTCCACATCCAAGTCCCTCAACTTCACAACCCCATTTGCCAAAATTCATCAAAATCCAATTTTGAACAGTGGTTTGAGTTTTTAAGCTCAATTTAACAGAGCATCAACCAAAAAAATGATAACTGTAATACGTTGGAGCCTCATGAATCATGAGCCGCGTAAGATTGTAAAGAGACAAGCCCGAGTAGTAAAGCTGCTATCTTGTGAATAAAAATCCAAACTTTTTTTTTTTTAAGCAGACTTAAAGTCCAAACTTTTGTGCACTTGTCAAATTTGATTGATCCTATTCTGATTTACTTTCTTGCACAACTTTAGTGAGTTAGCTAACCTTGGATTCGTTGGCCACGTCAGTAATTAGAGACATGCAGATGTGGGACCTATTATTAGAGCAGTCATCTCCTTTCTGATGAAGTTGGGTTGGCTTCAACTTCACATTTAGATTCCGACCCATGAAGTCTCCATTACTAAACTTAAGAAGCCTCTGGTTCCTGTCAACCAATCCTGTTTCTCCACGTAACTGGACGGCATATGAGAGAGAAAACCGGCCGTCCGCCGAGACTGCCATATTTTCCGGCGACTCTCTGCGTTAGAATAACGTGCTTTTTTGTTTGTTCTGCCTGACGTGAAGATGAGAGGAATGGCCTGTGCTATTGGAGGATTGCGCCACGTTGCCTACGTACAATAGCGTCCACCAATTATTATTAATTGCCACAAAAGACGGGAGATTTGAGGAAGCAAAAAGACAATTGAGTCCAGGTGTTGACTGACTTGACATTTCTTTCTTTCTTTTTTTCTTTTGGTTTTTTTTTTTTTAATTTTTCGGTAAACCACTCATCGGATATTCCGTGGATAGCGATTGGGCATTTTAGAATAGATCAAGAATATACTCCCTCCCATTTTAAATTTATAAACCAATTTTGATTACCTCATATGATTAAAAAAATTAATTAACTATAATAATGATATTTAAAGTTTAAAAATTTATACCAAAATATTGAGATTTTTATAAATATAATTCATGTTATAAAATTAAACCAAATAAATAACACAACATTTATTGTATTGTGCATTATGATTAGTTTATTATATTTATTAATAATATACTGTTATATATTAATGATAAATTTAAAATTATTAATTAGAGCTGAGTCCATCAGCCCCAACCCTTTTAAATTTAAAAAAAAAATCTAAAGTCAGACTTCTTTTTTAAAATATAAAATAATAAATTAAATTTAAAAGATAATTTTTTTAAGCTCAAAAATAAAAAAGCCCAACATTTTTAGCTTGATTATAAATTTTTAAAAATAATAAATATAAAAAATGAACACTATACACCAAAAGAAAACAGTCATTCACTTGTTTGATTTCATTCACGCTCACTGTAACTGCAACCTTATTTTGTCCACCTTCCTTTTTGTCCTCTACATCTTGCTCTATGCCTCTATCCATAGACCAACTCTAGCAATAGCCCAGGGTGGCAACCCTCATTTCCTCTACGCTCCATCACTGCTTTGTCCCTCATCTCTACTCGCTACTCATCTACTTCGTTCCTCATCCATAGTAGATTCATGATTGCAATCACTCTATCCCTCATCGTCTCTAGCTCTTTCAGCATCGCTCATCCCGTGCTATGTGCTTCTTTTTTCTCGCTCATCTCTAGCTCTATCGACGTCACTCATCCTGTCATCCTCTTTCCTTTCAGTAAGTGATCGTGTTGATTTTGTAATATTCTTACTTTTGATTAAACTGAATCTTGTTACTGTGTGTGTGTTGTCTTAAATTTATTTTGTTAGACTTAATATGTGCAATAACTTTTTTAAAATTTTAAATATATTTTTTATATTTTTAAATTAAAAAATAAAAAATATATATAAGACCGAGATCCTGAGGATTAGAGTTGGGTTGGTCAAAATGAAATCCTAAAATATGATTGGATTTAACAAGGCGCTCATTTAGGCCCTGACCCTTCAAAGACCGATCTTAATTGATAGATATAAACAAATCTCTTGTATATCAATGCAAACTGGTCACACTTTTAAATTTTTTAAAATTTGATCTATATTTTTTGAACATAAGATTTTTTTTAGCTAATGAGCTAATTTATCTCTAAAAAAAATTCTTCTAATTCATCTTTAGCATCTATAGTATTCTTTGTCTCATGAAAATAAACTTTAATTTTATGAGATGTAATTTAAAAAATAAAATAAATGTTTATTGAATTTTATAGTTATAAAATAATACTCCAACTTTATTATATATAACTCACTCTCTTAATCTTAATTATCTCACTTACTCCCTCCATTAAATAAGGTGAAATGTTTAAAAATATAAAATATTCTAGGTCATTTAAGGCAATTAAAAAGGTTTTTCAAAAAATACCCTTAATTAAGGGGTGTAATTAATAATAATTTCTAATCAACAAATCCTATTAAATAAAAAAATAGACTTGGTAAGAGTATATAATTTTAAAGATAAATAACTAACTCATTAAGAGATATAATTTGATTAAAAAATACATTACAATATTAAACAGGGTGATAAATCAAAATAAGATAATTAAATTATTGATGTTGTTTTTTAAAAAAATGAAACACCTTATTAAATGCATCATTTTTGAAAACACTTTCTTTCTCATATGTAACATTTTACTTTACCCAAAAAAATTATGAAAGAGTCAAATTAAAATAAAATAATTAATAATTTATTTTTTATGCAAAGCAAAATATATACAAAACAATGAGTCGTCCTAATTATAAAGCAAAATTAATTAATTTCACATTTTTTAAAGAATAATAGTTAATATCCTTAAACTTATAAAATAAATGTTTGATTTTCAAATTTTGTCACTCAATAAAATTAATAACCACAATAAATATATTTAGGAAATAAAATCTTGCATACAAATTAGTGCAATTAAGTTTGGCTGAGCACTAGTTGCATATGTATCAAATTAAACTAAATTACTACTAATGTAACTTAGTGGATAACCTACACGGAGATTGAGTAGCTAAGTTCAATAAAAGAGATGCTTTATATTAAAATGCTGAAAAGTTGGTTTTAAATTTTGATTTCTAAAACTAAACCATTAAAATGCTCAATTCAAAATATATTTTTTCTTTTGAATTTTTTCTGAACCAAGGTAAATAAAAAGAACTGAGTAAAATGAGAATTGAGTGAATAAATTTGATTATGGCCCTCCCTAGGAAGTTTGTATGCTCTATCCTTGACACCAAAATAAATTCAATTCTCTACTCTTCAATTAGGATCTAATGGTTTAAGGATTGCTAAACTCATCCTTAATTTAACTGGTCTTACTTAGGCCTTTGTCAATCCTAACAAAGTTAAGTGTGATAAAGCTCTACCTAATTAGTCTAACCAATTTTCTTACGTTACTATCTTTGTTTCGCTCAATCATGACAAAATCTTGCCCAATTGAGAATTAAGTTCACTCTTAACTACACAATATGCATGACCATGATTCATTTCTTATATAAATCAAGAGGAAGCAAATAAGAGCTCAAAGGAATCAAAATTTCAACAAGTAAACCACAAATGGATAGCACTTCAACTCAAGGAAATCAATTAAACAACTTTAATTGTAGGTTACAAAAATCAGAGATAACCAATCCAAATAACAATACAAAAACTAAATAAGTGCAATTGCAATTGAAATAGAATCAAATAAAGCACAGAGTAGAAAAGCTCCCTAAGTAGTCCATTATTCAAAGAGCACTTCCACATCCTAGGTAAGCTTAAATGATTAGTTCTCAATGAAGAATTTCAGCCCAGCAACTCCAAAATCCAGCATCAATGTCATGGCCATAAAGAGAATGAAGGCAGAGATGATGTATATGAGCAATTGTGTGGTAGGGATGAGTGGAGGAAAGGTACAATGAAGACATGAGGTTTGAAATGAAGAACTCCAGATCTGGAAATTCTGGAAGCAATGACCGAACACCAATGTTAGATATGAGGTTTACACGTGTCCACTTGTTTATTGAGTCAGATAAATGCGCATATGCTTGTAGGTGCAGAGATAGATAGCCATAAATACCTAACCCAAGTTGCTGTAATTTGACTCTTTGGTTTTTAATAAGAATTTTTGATTCTTTCACAGGTTGTGATTATTGATCTTCACAACCAAGAATGGAGATGAAGAAAGCTTAAGTTCTAATAGAGGATGGAGGTAGTATAATGAAATGTGGATGGCATAGGAGTGGATTAATGGAGGAAATGAAGTAGAAATAGGTGGAAATGGTGCTGTTTATGGAAGAGGATGAAAGAGGTGTGAATCTGGATGGATGAAGGTGTGAAGAACAAAAGGCAAAATCTGCAAAATGGAAATGAAAGAGTGAGCGTGTGAGAATGTATGATGGTGGCCGTGAGTTTGGATGGAAGATGGACTGTGGTGGCTAAAAAATGAGGCTCCCTCTTGCCATCTATACATAGTGATTGGTGGATCAAATCTATTGGTGGAAAGGGTTGTGTAGAGAGCAAGGAAGGCTCATGACCATTAGATTTAGGGTAAACAAATCTACCCTAAAAGATTAAAAAAAAAAGAAAGAATATAATAATTCTTTTTTTTATGAAAAAAAAAACATAATAATTCTAAACTAAATGAAAATAGGAAAATATCTACAATTGTTTTGCCTCTTTATCCTTGTCATCCTTCTTAATTCCTTAGTGAAAATCCACCGTTAAATGAACTACATTCTTCATCAATGGCCTAGATTTTGTCCACCATAGTCAACTTGTCAACCAAGAGCTTCTTCCATAGCCGACATTACCTAATAGCGTCATTAGCATAAGTCATGAGCGTTATTTCATGTATTAATTCAATTTAGGTGCAAAAATGTGAAAAAATAGAATTGTGATTAGAAGTGAAATTATGGTAGAGGATTAGTTCAAAGGAGTTGTGATTAGTTTACTTGGAATTTTTTATCCAGAAAACCAAACCTAGCATACTTCCCAAATTGCTTGAGAGTGCAATTAAAGTACTAAATTAAATTTGATGAATTAATTATAAGCTAAGTTGAATTAACTCAAATTAAATTAATGGGATAAAAGAGGAACTCAAAATTAGCAATTTACTATAGTTTCATTTTTTTAAGATTTAATATTTTTGAAAATTACAAATTTAGCCCATTTGATCCACGTGCTTAATTATGCTTTAAACGACCTAAAAATGTTAAAAGCCAATAATTAAAGGAATAAAATGATGTCAATATTATAATTTATCAATCGGCAAGATTGGAAAAAAATTATCTATCACATCTTTGTTTTATATATAGGACCAAGTAGAGTTTTAAAATTTTTACTTATAATTATGATAAAAAGGAGTACATGTTACAAAATATCATAAGAAAAATATTGCATTTGCAACCAAAAAGAAAAAAGAATTCGCATTTGGAAAGCATGACTTTATCAATATTGTTCAATGTTTCGAGCAACGGTTTTGTTTTGAATTTTTCTTAAGTCACATTTGCTTACTAAAATATAATAAAATGGAATGAATTAAAAAAATAAAGATAAAAATAAGATGATCAAAAAGGATATGTGAACACATTCATAAGGAAGAGTGATGATTTAGTTTATGGGATTGGCAATCATGATTCATAAAATTTTTAGATAATATAATGATTCTCACACTTGTAATATATGTTAATGAACTTTATCATACTTATCATAGGAAAAAGGGTAATTTAGTTTATTTTTATATTAATTTTTTAAATCTAATCCATTCCATTCTATTCTAGTAAGCAAACTTGACCTTAAAAAAATTGTTTCTTTTGAATATAGTTTTTAAAATATTAAGGAAAAATAAGTACAAGAGATTACTTCATATACATTTATTTTTACTTTTTTAATGCTTAGTCTCTCATTAATGAGAGTAGCAAAAAAGTACTCCCTCTATTAAAAAATGTAAGGCATTTTTAATCATTCGAGGTGTAATCATTGTTTTTTTTTCAAAATTACCTCTATTAATAGTGACTTTATATTTATTATAGGGTGTTTAATAGGGGTAAATATGAAAAGATAGGGTTAGTTTAAAAGTAAGTAATTATTTTATTGGAAGTGAGATTCAGTTAAAAATATCTTACATTTTTTAACTGAGGGAATATGTTGTAGCTTGAAGAATCTTAATTTTTTAAGGTAAAAATTGAAATTAACTCAAAAAACAATTAAAAAACTCTAATAGTTTAGATATTCAGCTCTACTCGAATAAATTAGAAAACCTAAAGTGTTAAGGCTGATTTTCAATATATGAGCTTTTTAATATATTGAGATATTTTAAATTAAATTTAAATAAATTTAACTTGAATTAAACCCAGCTAGCATAAACTATGCTCATCCGAATTACTTGCACCAGTCACCGTTCAAAGATATTAAAACCATGAGTCCATTATCAGATCAAACTCGTCTGATTATCGATCATCTTGTTTAATGGATTGTGAGATCTCCATGCGATAGTTAATATTGAGAAAGAGCCATCCCTGAGCCCATGAAATGCGAAGAGTCCATCAGCCTATCTAATTTTTATTAAAGAAATTTGTTTGATCCTAGTACTTGATATTCACCACAATTATCAAGCAACTAGGGTTTTTTGGCCCAACAAACAAGTATGGATTTTAGATGTTCAAGCTTTGGTTCTCAAAATTCCACTGGACAATCTATAATTATTTGATACCTTCTTAGCATCTCATTTACATGCTCGTTGTGTCACAAACCATTCTCGGTGAGCTCTTTTTTTATTTTTTATTTTTTGGCCGAACGATGAATTGCTTTTGGAGCTGGTTCCAAGTTTGTTTTCACATGAGTACTTCTGATCTTCATTTGCATGTACAGATGATGATTGGCTTGGGCTTTTTGTATCCTTATCTGTTTTGACTGTTCGTTTGTCTCTTTTTGTGTGTCTACTGTGTTATGTCTAGACTGGGCCTTTAAGAATTTTTTTTTTGGACCCGTTTGTCTGGAATTGTTTATTGTGTTGGTTAATAAATAATTGTTTTTCGGCCACTGACAAGCATGAATTTTTATTTGTTGATCGTGGAAGGAGTGAAGAACGACATTGTCTTGGAGAAAACACAACACATAACAGCTAATTCTAATCAAGTTACTTTTAATGTGACAAGAATAAATTTTAAAAATTTATTAATCATGTCTAATAAATTTTTAACTTTATCCTCATTAAAATATATATATATATATATATTAATAATATATCTTTTTCCTAATTAACAGTATTTAATGGAGTTTATGAGAGGTCATCTCGATTACAAATACGAAGGTTATCTCGGAGTCTAATTGAAGTTGACATTATGTATTGTTTTGCATCAAAAATCTTCTCATCCAGGTTTGGCGAGTTTTTTTTTTTTTTTTGCTTCCATGACCTTGTTGGAGGATCTCCATGAATAGTGGCTGTATGGAGATCTTGAATTTTATGCTGCTTTGTTTTGTTCGTTTCTTGGGTTTGTTCCTTGTTCTTGTGTTTCAGGTTCAAGTTCGTCTTGTTCTTGCTTGCTTCATGCTTTTGTTATTTCATCATTACCATGGTTTGCTCTTGAAAAGCTATGATTCTCAAAATCCTACTGGAGATGACTGATTGTTATTTGATTCAATTAGCTACTTACTGAGCTTTTATCCATTGCCTGTGAATCAGCATTTATGTTGGTTCCTTTTTCATTCGTTGTGAGTTTGGAACATCCACATTTGCATGAACAAGCATAGTACAAGTCGAGCTTCCAGTCTGTGGATGTTTTTGGGCTTCCCATTCCATCGCAGTTTGTTTGTGTTGGATCCTTTCAGGGGCGGAACCAGCCCAAGATCTGTTGGGGGGGCCAATTTTAAAATTTAACATACTCATGTATGTGTTAAAAATTTTTAAATAATTTTATAACTTATAAAATATCATTAATGAAAAGATTGTTTCTAATTATATAAATATTTAAAAATTCATATTTTTTAATTATAAAATACTTTGATATAACTTGTTTAGAAGAGGATAACCCCTTAAATGATGCTAAATTTCTTTAAAAGATTAGTCTTATGATTGTCGGATGTAAAGATACTTTAAAAATTGAAACAAAACAAATTATAGGATTTAAATAAATTTATTTAATGGTCAATAAAAAAATTAAAATAAAAAACAAAAAAATTGAAATGACCCTAGTATGATATCCTTGCAAATAAATATGATGAAATATCAACATAAGAATATTATTTCCTTCAATAAACTTTTAACTTTCTGAGCCAAATATATATATATATATATATATATATATAACCTTATATTTACCTGGACCCTACCATCATTCCCCCCTCTCCCACTGCCTCCTTCATACGCCATTGAAGAGATGAGAGAACACAATGGTCTTCAATGTTGCCTGTTTTGGCTTCTGGGAATTCACTTTCATTCTATCTCATTATGCATAAAATAGGTGAGGAAGTTTTTTTTTTTTTTTTTGTGGGGTAAGGGTGTTCAAAATCGATCCAAATCGAAAGGACCGATTCAAATCAATCCAAACCGAAAGAAACCGATCAAAACCAAACATTAATCAAATTTGCTTCGGTTTTTATGATATGAGAACCGATTAGTTTGGTTCAAGTTCTGTTTTGAGTATTAGAAACCGAACCAAATCGAGCCAAACCTAATTAAAAAATACTATTTATTTATTTATAAAATATATGATCATTTATCTATAAGAAGCATTTTGTTTTAAATTTTTTATAATAATAGATAAATATTTTTAAAGGATTTGAATGGAAATGCATAATATTAAATAATTATAATAATCATGCTATGACCATCATTTAATTATTTACAACTTGAAAGCCTCATGTTCAATTTATCTATAGGAAGCATTTTGTTTTAAATTTTGTATAATAAGTTTTTTATTATTTATTAAAATATAGATATATAGATAAATATTTTCAAAACACTTGAATGAAAATGTATAATCTTAAATAATTTTAATGTTAAAAACTCATATTAATTTTTATGATTAATTATCGTTATCACATTAAAATTTTATTATATTTTTATACATCTAATTATAAAAAAAAGAAGCTAAAAAGAATTAAATTTAATTTTAATATATAACAGCATTATGAAGATGGAAAAAAAGAAAAAAAAATTAAATAAATGTATTGAAGCCTGATCCAAACTTTAACCAAACTGAATTAAATTAAAAATTAAACCAAACAAAATCGAACTTTATAAAAATTGATCAAATTTTAATTATGAATAAACTAAATGATTTAATTTAATTTAATTTTTAATTAAAATTAAATTAAATCGAGCTTATAAGCACCTTAAGATGGTCTCCCTCAACCATAACGTAGTTCCGTCCCTTACTTTTCCTTTCAGTCTTCGAGTCTATATAATTTGGGTCTGCAACTTTGTGCTTTTGTCTTTCTGCTGTCTTACTTTCATTTGTCTTAGGCCTTTGAAATGTTCACTTTGAAGGCATGTAACTTGTGTGTAATCGTTTCATTCTTTAATATTATTAACACTAGTTAAAAAAATGAAGCTTGTGAAAAATTTATAATAAAAATTTACTAATATACGCTCCTTTGGGTCACGATATATGTGATTATTAATTAATTCACAATTTACAAAAAATATTAGTTAAAATTTTGATTCTCTAAAAATATTCATATCTTTTCATTTGTCATTTTAAAAGTTTTTGAAACTATGTATATAGTCTTCAAAATAAAAAAAAAAAAAAATAAACACAAAATTTATTCAATACTCGTATTTTAGATGGAATGACAGATTTTAGAGAGTGATTTTATTGAAGGAGTAACTTAAAAAATAAAAAAAAGTACGCGACTAACACGAGGGGTATCGTCGGCAAAACGGTGTCGTGGGACAGTTGGGACGTTGCCGTCGATTCGCTGCCAGCCAGGCTGCCTCCGACCTAAAGAAATATAGAAACAGAGCAACCACCACCGAACAATAACAGTACGAGTACACCCAGTCTCCTCTTCTCAAGTCTCAACTTTGTTGCCTTACCATCATTTCATTTCTCTTTCTCATGGCTTTCTCCAAGTTTTCTCTGCTTTTCTCGCTCCTTCTTTCTTCCTTTCTCTTCACCACTCATCCTGTTCTCTGCGACGACGGTGAGTCTCCCCAACCTCTATTTCCTTTTTCTCCCATGTCGCTTCAACAATGACTTCCATTTTACCACCTAAAGTCTCAGTCTTGCTGCTGCTACTTCTTTTATTTTATATACTTTAGATCTGATCTCAAGGATTGATCTGGGATTGCTGAGCTGGAGGGGATGTCGTTTTGATTTCTGTTATTTTTCTTTCTCTCTTTTTTTTTTTTTTTCGTTTCTGATCTGCTAGAGTTATTCATTGATTTGGTGTTGCTTTTATCTGGCATTTGGGAAATATAATCGGTTTTCGTTTATATAGCATCGGGTTATAGAGAAAGAACAGGATTGGGTTTTGGATGAATAATTGTCCGTTGATGATTGAACGCATTTTTTTTCTGTTTTCAAATGTATTTAGATCTTTGGCCAAAATTTCAAGGAACGATTTTTAAATGGTGATGAGATTAGGCCTTGCAGACTGAAATATGACACACCATCTCCGTGAAACTGGTTTAGTGATCAGATCTGAACATTATGAGTGAGATGATCACGTAGGCAGATATTGCAATACCTAAATTCACTTGTACTTGCTCAAACTAAAGCTCTCTTTCCTGATAGGTGAACAAGACAATCATGTGTGTTCACTCTTCTCCAACCCTGTTATAAATTGATGTAACTTATCTGACTGAAACATACTGACTCGAATATATTGATCCTCTGACCCAGCCTGGCATGTTTTTTTTTTTTTTTCCTTTCAATGCATGTCTGCATATATAGCAGTAGCACTACAGACATACATGCTCAATAAAGTTGGTATCATGAGACTACTTAATTTTTGGCCTGCAGAAGAAGATAATCTTTATCAGGGAATCAATGAATATCGAAGGTCCTTAAATTTGACAACTCTAACAAAAAATGACAATGCTGAGTGCCTTGCTGATGAACTAGCTGACCAGTTTAAGAATCAGCCATGTACAAACACCACAGGTGCCAATACAGTACCAGGCACTGAGCCCCAGCTCCCGAATTACCTAAACCTTTTGGCAAAATGTCATTTGAATGTTTCCAACACAAGGGATGGAGCTGTAATGCCCGCTTGTGTTCCTGGCCTGGATTCGAGCCTTGTCCTCACGAATTTCACAAAGTCTCTCTACTCTGACAATCTCAATGACACAAAGTATACAGGAATTGGTATTGGTTCTGATAAAAACTGGATTGTTGTTGTGCTGACCACTAGCACCCCAGAGGGAAGCTTTTTGGAGGCTAGTGCTAATGGTGCTGATATGATTTCCAAGATTGGTTTAATGTACTGTTCAATGATCTTGCTAGTACTTGGTAACATGTTCCTGTTGTGAATCTAGAAGATGACTATTAGCAAGAGAAGGTCTCCCCACCCCCCCTCTTTTTTTTTTGCCCCAGAAGGCAGGTGAAAACAAGCAAGAAAGAAGACAATTTCTTTCTTAAGAGATAAAGAAATCCCTTTGTTACTGTTGTTTCAGTATTGATTGTCTGTAGAATGATACAGAAGAATACACGAAAGAACCTATTCACTCTGGTGGTTGTTAGATCTTATTGTCATCATCATCAACATTTTTTAGGTTAAAGTTTGGAATTCCAAATGTCATGTGAACTTGGAAGCAATAAATTGTATGATTTGTGACAGTTTACATGTACTTAGTTTCCTTATGTACTTTCCGTTGCTTAGCTTGTGGTTGAGTTTGGTCTTGTAATGCAGTAGTAACCCATTTTTTCCCCTTAATTGAGCTTAAGTGAGTAACATTGAAAAGCAATCCAAGATGGTTAGTCGAATTCTGAATTCAAAGGATTTTAAGAGCTGTGAGGTCTAGTTTCTAAATTCTAATGTCTTTACATAGCTAAATTTCTTTGTTCTGTGGGAGTTTTAGAATCAGGTATTGCAAATATTCATATATTTGGGGAATATAGCAATTAAAACTGTGTCACGTTGAGATGACAGCATGAAGAAAGAAGGAAGCGAGGATCGTGTGACTAAATGAAGGATTCAAAACTTCTGTAGTAATTAAGGGATTCATGAGAAAGCCAAGTATGGAAAGCTGCATTGAGCCTACGGGGGATGGAGATATTTTGGAGAGGTCTTGGAAACATAATGATTGATAGTAAATTATTAGAAGTAGAAAACATGATACTCACAGAAAATGTCGCTGGTCTCCTAGTTGATGACTTGTGGCTTTGGAATAAAATATCAAGCTCTATCATATTTTTTGAGAAGCTAATGGATATACTCTCCCTTATTGCATGTTGATAATTTAGGACATTGATATTTACTTTAAATTACTTAAAAGGAAATAGTTAAAATCTTACTTTTCTAAAAAAATTATACATATTCTCAATTATACTCTTTATGGAATAAATATGATATTTGACTTATTTAAAACACTCTTATTAAATGTTTTGTATAGTTTTAATAGTAATAATTGAAATTTCAACGGACCAATTTTTTTTCAAAAGAAGATAAAATAAATGAAGAGAATAATTGGACAAAATTATAAAAATTACTAAATACTTTATATTTCTTATTAAGCAGGATTTTTAAGAAATGTCACATATTGTAAATAGAATGGAGTATTAATTAGCAAGTCAAACGTATCCACGATAAATCAAGGGCAACTTTGGTTTTTTTTTTTGTTTTGTTTTTTTTTTTAGAAGGTTAATTTACGTGCAAAGTTGGCCTTTTTTTTAAAAAAAAGAGAAAACTGTTTTTTGAAATGATGTCCCAAAAAAAATAAAAAAAGGCCTCTTGATAATGGTGTTTTTTGAAATGATGTCCCAAAACACAAAAACACAAAAAAAAGGCCTCTTGATAATGGCGTTTTTTGAAATGATGTCCCAAAACACAAAAACACAAAAAAAAGGCCTCTTGATAATGGTGCTTTTTGAAATGATGTCCCAAAACACAGAAAACACAAAAAAAAGGCCTCTAGATAACGGTGTTTTTTGAAATGATGTCCCAAAACACAGAAAACAAAACAAAAAAAGACCTCTAGAAAATGGTGATTTTTTGAAATGATGTCCCAAAAGAAAATAAAACAAAACAAAAAAAGACCTCTAGAAAATGGTGATTTTTTGAAATGATGTCCCAAAAGAAAATAAAACAAAACAAAAAAAGACCTCTAGATAATGGCGTTTTTTGAAATGATGTCCCAAAACACAGAAAACAAAACAAAAAAAGACCTCTAGATAATGGTGTCTTTTGAAATGATATCCCAAAAGAAAATAAAACAAAACAAAAAAGACCTCTAGATAATGGTGTTTTTTGAAATGATGTCCCAAAAGAAAATAAAACACAAAAGAAGCTAGGAAAGTTGGAATTGTATGCACCTGCCCAATGAAGAAATCTTTGGGCTCCTCTCACAAAACAAACAAAAACAGAAAACAGAAAACAGAGACAGTTCCTTGGGCTTCCTTAAATAGAAGCCTTCCCGATTCCTGGCTCGACTGTTCAAAGAATTCAAAGTAACATTGATAACTATTTTTCCTGTTTTACCCCTATTTATTTCAACAATTTTAAATGAGAGTCAAATTTACAAAAATTAATTAGGGAAAAATTTATTTATATAGTCCATGATTTTATGTACTCATTACATTTCTTAATCCGAATGTAGTAACCTTAAAAACATTGTGAAACGGAGGGAGTAAATGTGTGTGTTTTTATATTTGGCATGATAGGTTCATCACATTTAAAACGCAAGAAACACAAGAAAAACAAGGGGGTCAAATAAACTATAGAATTCAAATTTGGAAGCTGCGTGCAATTGACGGAAGGCCCCATCAGTTGTATTCAGATGAGGTGTCACACTTCTGGAATGTCACGTAAAAGGAAATTGATTAGCGCGTAAAAGGAAATGATTTATGGGGCTAATCAAGGAATAAATTAAAATATCTGTTTGATTCAGTTGCCGCATGTTAACTTGCAGTTGCAGATTACCACTGATTTTGTCTGTGTGCTTCCCAAATCAAACACAAATTTTGACCATTGGACCCATCTTGCCTCATATTTAATTATGCAAAATCATTTATCAAATCCCCTTAAAGTGCCTTTCTTTGTTTTTTTTTTTTTTGCTTTTTCCATTTCAGAACTTATGAAGGAAACTTATCAAGATTTTCTTGTTCTCATCAGAATAAATATTTTTTGCAGATACAAAACAGTAGCATGTCGGTGTTATTTTTTTCAAGCACTTCTTTTGATTCTTATTTGTTATACTGAAGCATTAGTTTTTTTTTTCTTTAAATATCATAATTAAATGATTATTTTTATTCTGTTAAATGGATCTGGTGATAGCAATGACGGTGACGCATTACTATTTTTCAGCAGACAGTCCGAGTTACTATTAAAAGTGTTGTTGAATATTGTTGGTTGTCAAGAAATAAATGCAAAGACCAAAAAAAAAAAAAACTATACTTTTTCCAGATTTCACATTGTAATCATAATGGGCTGCTTGAATGATCAAAGTTTAATTTCTGGAGGATCCCAAAACGGTGTTTGATGGAAAAGGGAAGGAGGGGATGGACACAGAATCATAAGAAAGGACCACAGTGAACATGAAAAGATGTTTTGGTGATGGGCAACGTTATCAACATACATGGAATATGTCCTTTTTTTTTTTTTACGTATAATGAATGGGCCTCACCAAACATGGAGTTATCTTTCAATGCTACTAAGAGCAAAGGATAGATGTTTTTCCACTAAGTAAGTTGCTATATATAGATGAGATGAAATTAACCTACAATTACTTGTTTTAAATAATGAAAATCTCTGCCACTCATATTAACTTTAATTGGTACATATGTGATGAGTTATAAGAAGAAGGTGTTAACGTGAAAGAGGTGGAGTGTGGAAAGACATGATGAAAGAGATATATGAAAATATCATTTGAGAGATAGTGAGATCAACAGGAAACGATATGAAAAAGATCTCACTTTCTCTTCTGGGAGACCACAAGAATCCAAAAGCGTAGTGGTCAATCCCAAAAGCTCCACTTATACATATCCCACCCATCAATTTACTTTCACTATCCATTATACACACACACACACACACACACACACACACACACACACACACACACACACAGAGAGAGAGAGAGAGAGAGAGAGAGAGAGAGAGATTTGCGGTAACATGCATGGCTGCTGCAGAGTCTTGTAAAAAGAAAAGAGTGGCAGTGGAAAAATGGTCAAAAGGTGTTTTTGCCCAAGCAAGTTTTCTCCTGACACAACTGATATCCTAAACTCTTAGCTTGAATATTAGTAAACTGAGCTAGACAAAATAAACCTGAGAAAGTGTAGAGGAAGGCTTAGTAAAATTATATATTTTTTAATATTTGAGTCTATTTAAGCTAAACTCGATCGAGCATTTTAATTTTTAAAAAAATATATAAAATATTAATTAATTTTTTAAATTTAAACTCATTTTATACTAAGAAGTCATATACTTGAATACATTACTGTAGATGTTTCCTTAAAAAATAATATTGATATATTTTTATTATTTTTATTCTATAAACATCTTAAAATAATATTTAAAATATATTTTAACATTTATTTTTTAATTTTATGATCCACAATTTTTTTTAAAAAAATTGAGTCCTCTACGGTTTTAAAGTATTTCAAAATGTATATTATATATATATATATATAATAAATGTAATTTATTTAAAAGTAAAAAATTGAATTTTTTTTAAAACATGAAAAAAGTAGCAATTTGAGCATTGTCTAACATCTCAAATTTTAATCCCTCAATTAATTAAAGAGATATTCAAGTTTGATTAAGTAAAATTGATTTAGAGGATGGTTAGAGATGATGAAGGGACCATCCAAGCTTGGGTATAACCTTAGGAATGGGTTTGAAACTGAGTTTGGACCATATAGGTCCAAAAGAGGGAGAAAAATGATGAAATGTGGTACTATGCCATGCGCCATGGTATGTACACTGTCTGCCATAGTATAAGGAGCTAAAATAGAGAGGGGGGCTCTTTGTACCATCCATTGAGGCCCAAGAAGTACATGGTCACAAAATAGCACACCGTGAAGCATGGCCAATTTTTTATAGAAATAAGGCTGCATCAATTCAAAAAATTAGAAGAGAAAGTGTGAGAAAAATGAAGGAGCATAACTTTGCTTTGCTAGGGCTTTAATTTTGTTAGGGTTTGTTGAGGGAAGTTAATTTTTGGTCCATATATGAGTTTGAACCCATTGATTCAAATAAAGTTAATAAGAGTTATATAGGATATTTAAATTATAGGCTTACACTTCTTGGTTGTTGGAGAGGCATTTATGGCTAAATTTTCATAATAAATAGAGTGGTTGGAGAGGTTGCAATGTCGTTAATGATGAGCTAAGAGTTTACTGATGTTGGGTGGATGGAAATTGAGAAACCTAATGGGTAAGCTTAGATGTTAGGAATGAAAATTTTGGGATGTGATAGAATTAAAATTTGAAGCTTGAATTGTGTAAATGGTGATAGTAATGATTTTTCACAATTAATCATTTGTGCACCAGTTTGAGCTTGAGAGCAAGTTTGGAAGCATTAATTTGAAGGGTAAACCTTTGATCTCTTAAAGATTTGAGAAAATCAGGAGAAATATTTTCTTTGTAGTTGTTTATTCATTGATTTATGTATGTGAAAATGAAATGATGG